AAAAAAAAAAAAAAAAAAAAAAAAAAAAAGCCAGTAACCAAGAAGTTACTTAGCCATTAATGCTCCTCTAAACACTCCCCCATCTTCAAACATACATCCCATCATTCTCACCACTTTTTGAAGCAGTTCTAGAAGCCTTCCCCATGACAGCTCAGGCCGAGCCACTGTACCCCGCACCAGCTACAAGGCATGTATTTGGAAAGTGTGAATCTAACTGCTGTCCTAGCTCTGCATCCACCACTGGAGGCATTGGTCCTCACCACTTCCAGAATTCTCCAGGCAAGATCCTGGCTCCAATCTCTGTGGCTTGCTCTTAGGAAGGTGTGATTCCTGGAAACTTTGATGATGAGATCCTTGCAGTTTTTCTTATTTTGACGTTTCAATTTTATTGCCATCCTGGGGATTGAATTTAGGACCTCATGCATGTTAGTCCTCCACCACTGGGCTAAGCCCATAGCCTCCTGTTGAACAGTGTCTAAACTTTGCAAACCATCATGTCACCAAGGGGTCCAAGCATTTGCAGTGCCACAAGTGTTCAAGGGTGGGGTGAAAGGTACACAGGGTCTTATATTGGCATATGTGATGTCAATGAGAAAAGCACACTGGATGAACCTCAGTAAAGGTACAAGTGAAGGAGTTCATGACTAAGTCTTCAGAATTATGAGTATTGTCCAGAATTATGAGTTAGAAGCCATGGTTTCATAAGCACACACTCTGTCAGCTTTGCTCAGATGACTGTAGCTTGTGGGCTGATTCCATGACACATATGCCATAGCTAACTACTGAGTTTGTGTTGTTCATGAGAGGTCATCCAACAGTCCAGACAGTGGAACAGCTTAGATGTCATGACAGAAAGCTGGGAAGATATGTTTGCAGAAGGTATTAGAGATTCATGTGGAGTAAGTCAGAGACGCTGGAGTTCTTACACAATGGGGAAGTTCAGAGTATACTTGACCAGGACCTGAGAGTTGGAAAAGAGATATTATTGGCTTAAGAAAGTAGTTCTCAAACTCTCTGGTCTCAGGACTCCTTTACATTCAACATAAGTGAAAATACTATTAGAAATTAAAATTGAGTCATTTGTAAAATTTTTTTATTCATTGTAATAACAATTTACTACGTCTTAGCATAAATAATATAATTTTATGAAAATAATATTTTCAAAAGCAAAAATGGTAAGAAAATGGCATTATTTTACATTTTGTGAAACTGTTTAATGTCTTGCATTATAGAAGAAACCACATTTTTGTATGCTATCTTTGTCATACCATACAACATAAGGTCTCTGGAAAGTGTCATATACTAATAAAAGAGTGGCAGTGGAAAGTCTGATAACAACTGAGTATTTTGAAAATAAATTTTGCTTTTTTATATCCCAGGAAGAGTCTCAGGAAAACCTACAGATTCCTTCTCCATACTTTGAGAGAGGTGGTCTAGTGTTAAACCTCCAATAGAAACCAGCTGGCTAGATTTGGCAATGATCAAGAAAGAGTCTATTGGTGGGGATCTGGGTGATCTTCAGAATTAAAGCATCAAAAATAAATGAATTTGAATATAAAAGAACAAGTACATGAAGAAAGCCCTTACACATTGCAGAAGAGTTTTCAATTAGCAATAATCGTGTCTTGGATAAACCTCATTAGCTAGGATGCTGCCACTGCCTTTTTTTTTTTGGTATGGGGAATTGAACTCAGGCCTTTGTGCTTGCAAGGCAGGCAGCAGAACCACTGAGCTAAATCCCTGGCCCACATTGCAGGAGAGACTAGGCAGTAAAGTAATAATGGAAAAGCTGGTAGATAAAAGAAGTAAATAAGACTATTTGTAGTAGTGTTTAAAACAGATGTAGCAGGTAGGAGTGGTGGGAGGAATTTCTTACTCAGTAGTCATGACAGTGATAGTATTACTTGTACTGATAGCATGAGTATTTGAAAAAGGGGAAGTCGTCACAACAGAAACAATATTTCCAGTGCTGGCAGCACTCATACTTGTAGAAAAATTGGTCATAACAGAAAGAAGATTACTAATGCTAGGAGCAAGAGTACTGGTCAGAAGAGTAGTGATTATTGTAATAACATTACTAGTGCTCTCACCACCAGATGGAAGAAGAATTTGTGGTAGAAACATTATGGTGGTGTTAGCAACATCAGAACTTACAGAAGTAGTTCTTATAACAGTAGTGTTGACAGCATCAGTACTTCCAAAGAAAGAAGTAGTCATAATAGGAAAACTATTGATAATAGAATCAGCACCAGTACTTTCAATTGTGAGCATATTATTAAAGCTAGTATCATCATATCATCAGTACCTGTATGAAAGGAAGTGGTTATTAGAGAAGCATTAGTACTAGTGATGGGATTTATAGGGGAAGAAGTCATTGTGTTATGAATAGTAGTAAGAGTATTAATAATAGTATTATCTGATAAGGAAGTAACAGTAACAATATATAGAGTAGTGTTAGCACTAGCAAAAGAAATACTTCTGGAGGATAGAGTACCAAGTGCAGATATAGATCCATTCAAAAAACTAGTACTAGTGTTAGATCTAGGAGCACCTGTAAAGAAAGTTGACATTGTGAAAGGCAGAGTTGCAAGACTAGTAGAAGTTGTAGTACTTATGGAGAAAAGACCAGCTAAATCAGCCACAGGGTTACTAGTGGTGACATCAGTAGAGCTCATTGGGAAAGGAATGGCTGTGATAAGAAAAGTGGTGCTAGTGTTTTCAGTATCAGTACTCGCATGGAAAGGAATAGGTGTGTCCAGAGAGTATTAGTTGTGACATTAAGAATACTTAGGAAAGAAGTGGTTGTGATAGTAAAAGTAGCACTACTGCTAGTCAGACTAGCAGAGAAAGAAGTAAGTAGTTGCATCAGGAGCAGTAGTATTTAGTGGTAAGATAAGTAGCCATCATAGCTATAGGCAGAATAACACTAGTACTGGAACTAGTAGTAGTTACATAGAAAGGAATGGTTGTACCCAGAGCAGTAGTATAAGTGAAGACACCAAAATTACTTGTTTGTAAAGAAAAGTGCTGATAAGAACAGTAGCACTAGTATTCACAGAAGGGCAAGGAGTATCAGGGACAGTAGTACTAGTGGTGATACTAATGTTTTTAGGAAAATGAATTGTGCTGATAGGAGCAGTAGTGCTGGTGATCAAGTAGCAGGAAAAGGAGTAGCATCAGATGCAGTAGTATTAGAGATGATATCAGTAGTATTCATTTGGAAAGGAGTGGTGCCAACAGGAACAGTAGCAGTAATTCTTACAGTAGTAGGGAAGGGAGCAGCATTGGGGGCAGTCATACTAGAAGTAACATCAGTAGTATTTGTTAGGAGAGGAATGGTGCTGAGAGGAAAAGTAGCAGTAGTGCTCACAGTAGTAGGGAAAGGGGTAATATCAGGGGCAGTAGTATTAGTGGTGACTTCAGTATTATTTGTTGGGACAGAAATAGTTCTGACAAAAAGAGCAGCAATGGTGCTCATTGTTTTAGGGAAAGGAGTACTTTTATCAGGAAAAACAGCACCAGTGATATTGATAGTATTTGTTGGGAAAAGAATGGTGCTGGCAGGAACAGTAGCAATAGTGCTCACAGTAGTAGGGAAAGGAGTAGTATCCGGGACAGTAGTACTAGTGGTGACATTTGTAGTATTTGTTGTGAAAGAAATGGTGTTGAGAGGAAGAGTAGCACTCCTGCTTAGAGAGATAGGGAAAGGAGTAGTATTGGGGACAGTTGTATTAGTGGTGACTTCAGTAGTAGATATTCGGAAAGAAATGGTGCTGACAGAAATAGTATCACTAGTGTTCACCGTCATAGAGAAAAGGGTAGTTATATTAGGAGAGGTGGCATTAGTAGTGACACTGAAAACATTCAATGGGAAAAGAGTGGTGCTGACAGAAACAGTAGCAGTAATGTCTCAGTAGTAGGGCAAGGAGTAGTATCATGGGTAGTACTACTAGTGGTGATACTCATAGTATTTGTTGGTAAAGGAATGGTACTGAGAGGAACAATAGTACTAATACTACTAGTAGTGGGGAAGGGAGTAGTAACAAAAGCAGTAGTATTCATGGTGTCATTGTAGTATTTGTTGGGAAAGGAATGGTATTATGGGGAACAGTAGTACTAATAATGTTCACAGTAGCAGAGAAGGGAATAGTACCAAGAGCATTAGTGCTAATGGTGACATTTGTAGTATTTCTTGGGAAAGGAATAGAACTAAGAGGAGCAATAGTACTAGTGCTCACAAGAGTGGAGAAAGGAGTAGTATCAGAGGCAGTAGTACTGGTGGTGACATTTTTAGTATTTGTTGGGAAAGGAATAGTAGTACTAGTGCTCACAGCCATGGAAAAAGAAGTTGTAACCAAAGCAGTAGTATTCATGGTGACATTTGTAGTATTTGTTGGGAAAAGAATAGTACTGAGGTGAACGATAGCACAAGTGCTCGGTGTAGTGGAGAAGAGTGTAGTACCAAGAGCATTAGCACTAGTGGTAATATTTGTATTATTTGTTGGGAAAGGAATGGTACTGAGGGGAACAGTAGTAGTAGTACTCACAGTAGTGGGGAAGGTAGCAGTACCAGGGGCAGTAATACTAGTGGTAATATTTGTATTATTTATTGTGAAAGGAACGCTACTGAGAGTAATAGTAGTAGCAGTGCTCACAGCAGTGGGGAAGGGAGTAGTACCAAAAGCATTAGTACTAGTGGTGGCATTTGTAGTATTTGTTGGGAAAGGAATGGTACTGAAGGGAATGATAGTACTAGTATTCACAATAGTGGAGAAGGTAGTAGTATCAGGGGTTAGTAGTACTAGTGGTGACATTTGTCGTATTTGTTGTGAAAGGAACACTACTGAGAGGAATAGTAGTAGCAGTGCTCACAGCAGTGGGGAAGGGAGTAGTACCAAGAGCATTAGTACTAGTGGTGGCATTTGTAGTATTTGTTGGGAAAGGAATGGTACTGAAGGGAATTGTAGTACTAGTACTCACAATAGTGGAGAAGGTAGTAGTATCAGGGGTCGTGGTAGTAGTGGTAACATTTGTAGAATTTGTTGGGAAAGGAATGGTACTGAGGGGAACAGCAGTACTAGTACTCACAGTAGTGGGGAAGGTAGTAGTAGTAACAGGGGCAGTAGTACTGTTGGTGATAGTCATAGTCGGTGTAAAAGTCAGGAAAGGAATGGCACTGAGGGGAACAGTAGTACTAGTGCTCACAATAGTGGAGAAAGGAGTAGTATCAGAGGCAGTAGTACTGGTGGTGACATTTTTAGTATTTGTTGGGAAAGGAATAGTAGTACTAGTGCTCACAGCCATGGAAAAAGGAGTTGTAACCAAAGCAGTAGTATTCATGGTGACATTTGTAGTATTTGTTGGGAAAAGAATAGTACTGAGGTGAACAATAGCACTAGTGCTCGGTGTAGTGGAGAAGAGTGTAGTACCAAGAGCATTAGTACTAGTGGTAATATTTGTATTATTTGTTGGGAAAGGAATGGTACTGAGGGGAACGGTAGTAGTAGTACTCACAGTAGTGGGGAAGGTAGTAGTACCAGGGGCAGTAGTACTAGTGGTAATATTTGTATTATTTGTTGTGAAAGGAATGCTACTGAGAGGAATAGTAGTAGCAGTGCTCACAGCAGTGGGGAAGGGAGTAGTACCAAGAGCATTAGTACTAGTGGTGGCATTTGTAGTATGTGTTGGGAAAGAAATGGTACTGAAGGGAATGGTAGTACCAGTACTCACAATAGTGGAGAAGTTAGTAGCATCAGGGGTCGTGGTAGTAGTGGTGACATTTGTAGAATTTGTTGGGAAAGGAATGGTACTGAGGGGAACAGTAGTATTAGTACTAACACTAATGGGGAAGGGAGTGGTATCAGGGGAGGTAGTGCTAATGGTGACACTAGAAATATTAGTTGGAAAAGGAATGGTAGTGACAGGAGCAATAGCAGTGGTGCTCACAGTGGTAGGGAAAAGAGTAGTTATATCAGAGGCAGAAATACTTGTGGTGACATTCGTAGTATTTTTTGGGAAAGGAATGGTGCTTATAGGAACTGTAGTGCTAGTGCTTTCAGTAGTAAGGAAAGGAGAAATTGTATCAGGAACAGTAATACTAGCAGTTGTAGCACCAATATTACCTGTTGCATAATTTGTGGTTTTGATAGGAAAAATGTCACTAATGCTAGTGATAATAGTACTTTTAGTGAAAGAAGTAGTTGTATGAGGAGCAGAAGTACTAGTTGTAATGTAAGTAGTATTTGGTGTATAATGTGTGGTTGGAATAGAGGCAGTGACGGTAGTCATTATAGTGGCGGTACTTGTATAGAAGGGAGTAGTTGTATCATGAATAACAGGAGTACTGGTAACATGAACAGAACTTGCAGAAGATGTGCTTGTGACTGGAACCATGGCAGTACTTGCACTACCAGAACTGATGGTAGTCTCAGCACTGGAAGTCTCTGTAGTAGTTGGAAATGGATGAGTACTCATGGTGCTGGTACTTGTCATAGTTGGACTGGTAACTACAGGATCACTATGAATCCAAATAATCTCAGTTAATTTTTCCAGGTTGATATTCTTGTCAGTTAATACAATAGTTAGTGTCTGCCAGGAAAGAAAAAATAAAGATTAAATATTATTTTTAATTCACATTTCATACTGCAATTTAACAAAAGAAAAAGTATTCAATTTTCCCAATAAAGCAATAGCATATAAATGTCTTTACATAGGTCACATAGATTAATAATTTGGACAGATCCTTTTTGTGCATAACCTTATTATGGAAATCTTTCTTCTCACTTTATGCAGAACTGCATTGTTCAAAAATATCTACAGTTGTGATTAAGACCTGTGCTTATTAAAATTGGTTTTCTTTGGCATTGGATTTAAACTTTCTGACAACTGGCTTGTTTCATTTTATGATTACCAACACCTCATACTTAGTGCCTGGCCCCTGAGAGGCATCTGGGGATCCTATAGAAGGAACTCAATGATTTTACTATATTGTTCTTAATTAGGAGTTACTTGCAAAAAGTCGTTTTGAACTCAACATTCCAGTAAAACAGCTGATTACAAGAGACCATAGAGAAAGGATCTATTTGGGTCATTTTCTAAAATTCAAATGTCATCAAGGTACCATTTCCACCTTTGAGGAACAAAAATTAGAGTTGTCCATTGTTCACTTTTCTAAGCCATTCCATGTGGGTTACTGGATCCACATTTATGATTGGTTTTATTTTCTAAAATATAATAGTTTTCCCTGTGTGGTTGCCTTTGGTAACATTTTTTCTAAAATGTCAATATACTTGCATTTTGGCAACAAAATGCAACAAGAGCAGATCCTCTAGTATTTTTCCACCTATGTCACTGTACTTTAACCAAGTGAATCTTACACTATTGGTAGGACATATTCACTTGATGATCACCATAGTTTATTGCCAATTTTCAGCCTAAAAAAATCTATCAATTTGACCATGGATGTGAATATTGCAAAAAAGAGGAGTAATCCTTCAGTAAGTTTAGAGAGTCACTCTTTTCTCACTTTTACCTTTAAGTGAAAAAGTAAGCTTTGTTATGTAGCCTGGGAAACCAAGCTACTCAAACATAGCACAATTTCCTTGGTAAACATATAGAGAGGATATCGTAAACCACTAATCATTGGACTACAGTAGGAAGATCACCAGTGAATGCTGTGCATTCTATAACATTTATAGGAACATATATATTCAATATTTTGGTAACCTTCCTAATATTTGCATATACAAGAATGATAAAAGTGATGACAATTTTGCAGAACACTAAATTATCTTATAGTAAAATAAGACAGGTATGCTTATGGAACAGGAGACTTGGATACTCTGATGTTGGCCAATAAAATGTCACTCATTAAAGTGCAGCCATCTCTTTTTTCCTAACCTCCCTTGTTATCAATATATGGAATATGCCATCCCCTTTATCCCCTACTCTTATTGCAAGGACCATGTATGATGTAACCTCAGAGAGGCACCACGCTAATTCCAAGGACTTTTGTTTTATAACCAAATAACTCTTGATTCACATCATCTTAAAATAGGGGGAAAGCCCCTAACACACAAGGAATAAGTCACCAAAAATGCCATACTCATGATCCATTGGAAAGTTACCAGCTTCTCATCTACTGCAGTGAAGCAATAAAAACTGGACCAATTATTTTGTTCGTGGGCCAATCCAATTCATTCCATCAGGACTGTGTACCATCCAACTATTCTATCCAAGCTGAAGCCCCTTCCTAGTTTTCTCTTTCTCTGTAAAGCTTTTGCCTGTAAATTTGGGAAGTTGCTTCAGTTTTAATTTTCATGATTCCTGAAACAGTTCCCCCATGCATTCTGTATCAATGGTACTCTGTTCAGACATACCTGATTGGAAGGGTCACTCTTCAAGTTGGTCTCTGTGAATTGCTGGTTGTCATAGGTGAAATTGACTTGTGTCACATAAGTAGAGTTCACACCCCAAATTTTAATATAGCCAACTTTCAGAGGATTTGAGTCACTTAAAAACTTATTGTGTATGACTTGGATATGCAAGGTATTCTATAAAGAATTTGTAAAGGGAAAAAACAGTACATTGTTTAAAAAGAATATCTCCTACATTAAAATGTTAGTAGCATCAAATATTTTATAGTACTGTTTTCTCTTTCTTTCTGTCCTTTTTTCTTTTTTCTTTTTCTTTTTTGCAGTAGGAGAGGTACTCAGAGCCCTTAGACTAAGCTAAAAATCACAGCCTTTTTTTAAAAAATTGTGGGACCAGTCTTACTGGTTTGCTGAGTTGTCCAGATTGAGCTCAAATTTTCAATCTTTCTTCCTTGGTCTCCTAAAGACTAAAGGCATGAACCATCATACCTGGCTCTGTTTTCATTTTTAATTTAATAATTAATTAAACACTTTATGAATATTTATTTCCTGAGCACCCACTACAATAACTTTGATGATGTCAAACATAGGTTTATGTGCCAGCCTTATGAAAGCTTTTTTATGTATGCTCCTTCCTAATTTTTATAATAATTTTGAAAAGAAAGTGATATTTATTGTCTCTGTTTGACAGATAAGGAAACTGAAGCTCTGGAAGATGGAGAAGCTCAAGGACAAAGAGATAAATGACACAGGATGGAATAATGATGCACATCATATGTGTTAACACAAAGTGACAAAAAGTGTGTGCGACCAGTACTTAGATAAACATAGTTCACAGGAATATAGGAACTTATGTAAACTGTGAACAGGTTAAATACCAATTCAAGGTTATAATAATATGAGACAAATCATGAGATATCACTCAAAGAACAAATAAAAATCATGTGTAATTTGTTATGGGTGCAAAGAGAAAGGAAAAAAAAATCACTGGAAATACAGTAGACAAGGGAGGATTTAGTGAGGGCACAGGACTTCAGAGGTCCTAGGAGGATAGGTAGGATTTATAAAGGTGACGTGAATGAGACAGGGAGTGGTGCAGGGACACAGTGATCTGAGGCTCACTCTGAGTGAGCACCAAGACTATTGAAGCTGGTGCTATGTATACAGAAGTGAGACTGGCTAAGCGAGTATGATAAAACCATTAGAAGTCTATATAGGTAGGTGTGGTGGTACACACCCATAATTCCAGCACTCATGAGGCTGAGGCAGCAGTTTCTCAAGTTGAAGCAAGTTCCAGATCCAGCCTGGACCACAAATCAAGATCTTATCTCAAAACCAAACAAAGCAAAACAAAAGAAGAGTCTATACAATAAAATAAGGAGATAATCCCAGTAGGGGAGAGTTTACAAATATCTCCCTCCACTCTAATGGGAGAAGTAGAAAAAGAAACATGTTTAACTGGAATTTCTGAAGAATTAACAGGACTTTTTTGGCTGATTGGACAGGCAGAATCAAGGGAAAATCAAGACTAAACAATATAACTTGAGACAGGCAGGTGCATTAGGGCTAATGCATACTGAGTTAGTAGTTCATTGATAAACTTCCTGTGATCTTACAAGCAGTTTAATAATCTGAAACTGGGTAAGATAAGGGAAGACCTTTCACTACAGAAACCAGCATATGCTGCAACTCAGCTCCCACTCCCACAGGCTGGCTCACCAGCGGGGCAACACTGATATTAACCCCACAGAAAGTTGGGAGCTTTCTTTCACTTCAGGTTCCAGATCTTTAGAGAAAAAAACAATTCATCAAACATCACAGAAGTAATGGCACATTTATCACTAATTTGAAATAATGAAAAATAGAATTTTAGAGTCAGAATTCATTTAAGAGTAATGTAATGTTTTATAATAAAAAAAAACAGATTAAACAAGGAAGTGTTTTTCCTAAATTGGGTAGTTAGTAGAAACAAAACACAACTCCAAGGTTTACAGATAAGTGGCTTCATTTACAAACAATAATCTAACAGAAAAGTAAGTAAAGTCTTATACTCAACTATTCATAAATTAATAACATAATGTACATTACAAGTGAAGAATAGAGACAGTATGATCTGATACTCATGCCTATGAAAATGATTTGAAGGTCTTAGAAGACTAAGACATATGTGTGCCAAAATCTGATACATGTGTATAAAAAATTAATGCTGTGTAATGCCAGAAAACAATAAGTCATGCTAAAACAAAAGTAGTAGACAGTATGAAAGTTCATGCTGTCATGTCAGAATACAATGCAAACCATGTGCGCAATTTCAAATTTTCTAGAAACTACATTTTTAAAAAGTAAAAGAAACAAAAGAAATTAATTTAAAATCTTGCATTTATCCAAAATTTCTAAAATGTTATTTCAGTGCATTCAATATAAAAAGAGCAGTGGGGTATTTTAAAATCTTTTCTTGAAGAAAGCTTTTGAGTATTTTGAAATAGGATAGTCATACTTGTAAGTGCCTAACAGCTAATGTGGCTCATAAGTGGCACACTGGATAGTGAAGATATAAATTATGATCTCAACCCTGGGCACTATGTTGTAAGAGAAATCTATGTTAAGTGGAGTCCAAATAGAGTGATCAGTGCATGCATAAAATAGCAAAAGTTAGCCTGGAGATGGATAGAGAAGACAGAAGGGAGATATAAAAGACATCTTCATAGATTGTAGAAAAGAGAAAATGAATTTTTGCTATCATAGCCATCCTTTTCAAGTCAATGGGTAAAAACTAAACACAAGAAGATTCCTGGTTTGACAGAGAATAATCCCCTACTTTTCTTGTTAGAATTACAGATTATCCATGGAATCATTTAACATACAAGGTATACTGAATGCTTTGTGGTCCTCAATTATTCATTCTTCTCTATTCATATCCTTTTCTGTGTAATTTTTAGTCTCCAGATGAGATGTTCTGTTCCTGCTCTGCCTCCATGACTGGCCCTGTGACTACTTTGCTACTAGGAAGTTGGGCAACTTGAGGCAAGAAGTGATTTTAAAAATTATTTGGGCATTTCACTTCTATTTTTGCCCCCTTCTGTAATCGTGAAAAAGTCATGCTCAGATCTTCCCACAATTTCACTTTAGATCACCCTCAAACCATCAAATACATATGTGATTGAGTATCATCATCAAGACAATCCACACAGAGTAACAAAGTGATGGCTGACACCTAACATGTGAGAGCCAGCCAAGACAGCCAGGTGTAGCTCAGACCATCTGCAGACTCAGAATCTAAAAAAGGTTTGAGACTGTGTATTGTCCAGCCTTGCTTCATGTTGAATAGTTTCACGTAACAGTTGTGCTTCAAAGTTTTATCAGCCAGAAAAATTCTAATCCCTGGAAACATGTCATAAATTTAAGAGCCCAAATTTTTCCCAGAAAAGTTTCTATCTTTTCATCACCCCTGCCCCATATATTGGGTAATTATCAAAATAAGACTATTTCTTTCTTATTTTAGTGTCAAAAACCAATTAGAAAAATAAAGGCAGGAAGGACCTCCTGTTCAGAGGTGAGATACTACAGTTACAGTTAAGTTGTATAAATGTATAATCTTTAAATCACTGGAATAGCATTTATAAAACTCAATAACCTTACCTCAGCTGCTGCAAACTTTGCCAGAAAATAGTTTCCATTTTCATAGGTATCTGAAGGCAAGACAAGGGGAAAAAAAGCAACTTTAATCATAGAAGATAATCTCATACGGAATCAGGAAACATCTTAAGGGGTTACAATTATTAATTAGGGTATTCCTCGCCTCCCTGAGAAGCACTAGTAGCTAAGCACTTTCCAAACATTCATATAAGTCTGGGATGGATCCCTGATTCACAAGCACACAGAAAGAGGAGACAGAAGAGGAGGAGGGCCAATGAGGAGGAGGAAGAAGAGAAGAGGAAAAAGAAGGAAGAGGAGGAGGAGGAGAAGGAGGAATAAACAGGGAGAAAGAGGGAGGGGGAGCAGAGAAGAAAAGAGCAAGGACATCTCACTCTGGGTTTTCTGTGCAGATCGGTGAGCAGAAGGAGACATAGGGAGGGAGAGAAAAGGGCTCGGAGGTTGAAAATGCAAGGTAATCTAAATTAAACTAAGAATAAATACCCAGGTGAAGTGTGAAAGAACTGATTAGTTATTCTGCACTGTACATAAACATGAGAGTTCATATGCCTAAGAACATAAACGTTCAAAGTAGAGGAAAGTGGTTAAGGAATCAAGCTTCTAAGTCAGATATACCTAGAATCAAACCTCGGCTCTTGTACTTAATATTTCGGCAACCTTGAGCACTTAACATTTTAACATTTGCAGGATATATGAGATGTAACCAAAATATATGGTGAATATTTAAATTTTTAAAAATTTACTCTAGTAAAAGATATATTGCCATCAATCTCCCTCAGTTTGAGCACATTTATCCCATAATTCTTACCTGCTTCTGAAGCAGTATGGAAGTCTTCTTTTGTGAGTGTCACTCGCCAATTAATGAAAAGACTGGCTCATAAAAAACATTACAGTGTGTTCAGATCCGCTTTATTCATAGATCTTGTACAATTAGACTTCTGGATGTTCCACAAAGTCAAAATGACCATGAAAAGTAGATATTTTTAATTGAATCGAGACTTCAAGGAAGCCACAACACTGTAACTAAAGTTACAGTAACTGTAAAGTTACAGTAACAGTTACACTGTAACTGTAAAGATACTCATGAAAGAGGGCTTCTAGAGCTGCTTCAGAAAGTGGCAAAGTAGAATAAATGTGTTCAGAGTAGAGGGGTGAGATGACTGATAGCAATGTGTCTTTTAATATAATTTTTATAATATTAAATATTCACCAAGTTTCAAACACATCTCAATAATAATGCCTAATAGGAAAAGACTTTATGAACAAATCCTCAGTAGCATGGGAACTAGCAGAAAGAATCAACAACTGATATCTCATCTTATTAAAAAGCTTCTGTACTGCAAAAGAAACCATCAGCAGAACTAAGAGACAACCAACGTACAATGGAGAAAAAATTTTACCAGCTGCTTCTCAGACAAAGGACTATTATCTAGAATATATAAAGAACTCAAAACAATCAGCCCTCCCCAAATAAAAAGACCTGATTCAAAAATAGGCATCCGAAATGAACAGACATTTCTCAGACAAAGAAATAAAAGCAGCAAGTAAATATATGAAAAAATGTTCCACATCACTGGTCATTCGAGAGATGCAGATGAAAAAAACCCTGAGATTCCACAAAGAATGGCTGCTATCAAGAAATCAAACAACAAATGTTGGCAGGGTTGTGGAGGAAAAGGAACCCTTCTCCCTTGTTGGTGGGAGTGCAGACTGGTGTAACCACTGTGGAAAACAATATAGAGATACCTCAAAGAGCTTGGACTGGAGGTTCCATTTGACCCAGCCATCCCTCTGCTGGGTATCTTTCCAAAATAACTAAAAGAATCATATCACAGAGAAGTATGTGCACCCATGTTTAGCGGCACAGTTTGTAATAGCTAAATCTTGGAAACAGCCCATTTGCCCATCAGTTGGAAAATGGATAAAGAAGATGTGGTTTTTCTATAAAATGGAATATTACTCAGCCATAATGAGAAATTAGACTTATTCGTAGGAAAATGGATACATATTGAGGATATACTCCTAAGTGAAATAAATAAGTCACACATGTGTAAATACTGAATAGTTTCTCTGGTGTGAATAAACTGCAATAATACATAAGATCCTAATAAGATTACTGACATTGTGAAATGGGAAGAAAGGGGCTAAAGGTGTAGGGAAGGTGGGATGGGTAGGGGAAGGGTAATAAGGGAAAAGAAAAAATGTGAGATAATGAAAAGATGAAAATAAAGTGTTTGTAGATGGGGAGGGGAGGAGCGGGTGAAGGGAGGGCAGGGACGAGGGGAAAATATGAGAACCAAGACCTGTCATGTAGAGGTACAAGATCCCAACAATGAATGTAACTGTACTGTATCCCTAAAATGTACCAATAAACTCAATTAAAGCTGAAAAAAAAATAATGCCTACATCCAGCTTGTACAAAATAAGTGCTCAAAATTTGTTGTTCACTATCATTATCAAAAATCATAATCCGTATGAATCTTCTTTCTCTACTCTTACTGTGTCCTTCACAGCGCTAGAGATCCTAACCTCTCTTTTCTGCAGAACTGATTCCATTAACTTTCCCCCCAGGACCTCTCTGCTCTTCTAGGCTACAATGATGCCTCAGGGTACACCACTGTGCCAAATCATTCCTTTGATTATGTAAAGCTAGCATCACGTTTGTTTTATTGCCACATGTCTCAAACAGGTAGCCCTTGATTCCTTGATCATTATACCTGTGTTCTACTCAAAATTTGATTTATAGCTCCTACATTAGTCCTGTATTTCTTTTTTGCATTGAATCTGATATTTTCAAAGTCATAAGTGACATAGCACATTAAATCTAGGTTCTGTTTTCTCCCCATTCCCCTGCCCTTCCTTCACCCCCTCCACCACCCTTCCCTGTTTACAAAGTCTTTGTTTCCATTTTTTCCTTTTCTCATATTTTTCTTTTCCCTTCTTTCCTTTTCCCTACCCTTCCCGCTTCCCCTACTCCTTTAGACCTTTTCTTCCTATTTCACATTATCAAGTGTACAATTGAATCTTATTTGCACTTTTAGTTTTTCACACGAGAGAAACTATTTACATGTGTGTCCTATTTATTTCACTTAAGAGTATCACCTCAGTGTGCTTCCATTTAGCTATAAATGTCTCTAGTTTCTCATTCTTTATGGCTGAGTAGTAAATATCTCTTCATGGTATTCAGGATTTTCAGACTTCTTTAAATATACATCTCTACCTTGGAAATACAGTATTAAGGAATGCTGTATCCATGGAGGATAGGTTCCAAGACCCAAGACCCCTAGTGGATGCCTGAAATTATGTCTAGTACTGAGGCCTACATGTACTGTTTTTTTCCTATAGCTACATACCTTTGCTAAAGTATAATTTATAAATTAGGCCCAGTAAGAGATTAACAATAGTAATAAAATAGAACTATTACAATAATATATCCCAATAAAAGTAGAACAATTATAATAATATATTCTACTAAACCTTTGAGCATTGGGAGTCATTATTAAATAAAGTGGACCCTTGACTTAAAAACTCAATTCGTTCTTGTGGGCTGGTTGTAACTCAAATTGGTCAATTGAAAGCTCAGGCTCCTCTACACAGCCTTAGAAGTGTCCTGTATACAGGCAGATCTCAGTGCCCTTAGAGAGACATTGGCTCAGTATTTCTCAATTAACTTCACACTGGAAAGGATGTTGTATTTCACTGAGACCATTTGGAAGCATAAGCAGCCAGCATTCAAGTTATAATTCAAGACTTTGTAAGTTACAATTAAAATCCCAGTCAAAACCCAATTTGTTCCTATGTCAGGCTGGTAGTAACTTGAGGGTCCACTGTAAAATACAGGTATTTCAGAACTACAGAAGTTTCTCTGTTGAGATGGATACTAAATGGTAATGGGAGGGGGCATATACAACACAAATACACTGGACAATGGGATGACCTGTGTCCTGCTTGAGGTGAGCAGGATGGTGTGGAATTGCATCATGCTAGATGGAATGAGGCATAATTTAAAACTTACAAATTTTTTCTTGAATTTTCTATTTAATATTTTCCGATCATGGTTGACCACCAGTAATTTAAATCATGAAAAGTAAATCCTCAAACAAACAGAGACTCTAAGTCAATATCTACTTTCTTCATTCTCCTCATGTAGTTTAGATTCTAAAACTCTTCCTATTTTTCTTTCTTTTTTTGAGGGGGCGGGTATTTGGGATCCAAACTCTGGACCTTGCTTTTGCGAGGCAGGCACAGCACCACTGAGCTAAAACCCCTGCCCCCCTATTTCTTAAAATCAGTTTCATTTCGAGGTATACTGGTTTCCAAAATTCCATCTCTTACTAATATGCCCACATCTTTCCCTAAACCAGTTAACCTTCTAAGTTTTCTATATTACATCCACTCTTAGGGAAACAAATAGTTATAAAACTCCTAGAGTATTTTTAAATTTAGCCTTGATGAATATACAGTTCATGAATTTAATTCATTCTATGACTCTGTTTATCACCTGATGTGGAGTTTTTGAGCCAGAAGTACAATTTTGCTGCACATTTGTTTGTGGGCAGAAGTGTCCGTGAATCAAGGCATTACGATCACTTAAACCAACACTGCGGCCTCTTTAGCAGTTAATGCACAGTTTTTAAAAAATGGAATTTTGTTGGCAAGATTATTTAAGATTACCCTTGAACTAGACATCATATCACCTTATGTAAGTAAGGGAAAGTTTAATAAGTAATTACAAAGCTGTTAACAAAAAATTAAATCTATACTGATGCCATATTTTAGTATTTAAATTTGAATCTCTGTGTTTCTTTCTTTCTTTCTTTTTGTACCAGGGATCGAACTTGGAACCTTGCACTTGAAAGGCAGGTGGTGGAACCACTAAGCTAAATCTCTGGCTCTGTATTTCATTTTTTAAAAAGGGTAAAAAGCTTCTCTGGAAAATGTTTGAAAGTTTCAGAGACTATTGACTTTTAACTCTAAATCAGACATATTTTCACAGAAACTTAAATTGTATTAAGAAATGGCTTTGCTCTTTTAAATTTTAAAACAATTACTCACAGGAGATTGAATTTAATACTAACTGTGGTATTATTAACCCATTATGATATCACTCATCTAGTCATGATTAGATCAGCCTATGTACAGGAACGTTCTACATTCTCTTAAAACATTGGTTCTCTACCAGTAGCAGTGATTTTGTCTTTCTGGGGACACTTAGTAACATCTAGAGACATAAATGGGTATGACATCTTATTTTTGTCATCAGGTGGGGAGGGGGCAGAAATACTGCTAAACATCCTATAGTAAACAGCCCAGCCACCAGAAACAAAGAATGATTTAACCACAAATGCCAGTATCACTGAGGCTGAGAAAATTGGCTTCAAATTAAGCCCTTTCTTTTTCTCATGATAAACAAACTTTGCTATTTTCTTTTTATTGTTATTTTAATTTAAAATAATTATGGAATACAATGTGATAATGTACCAAAATACACAATGATCAAATCAGGGTAGTAAACATTTCAACTGCCTTAAACATTTTCTAAACACATAATTGCATATACTTATGAATTACAGTGTGGTATTCTAATACATGTATACAATGTGTACTGATCAAATCATGATAAAGATAAAGAATTAGATAAATTATGACAGTCTTTTCAATAGAATATGAGAGTCATACTGGTGCTTATAATAAATATATAATACCTAGATATATTTATCTCATGAAAATATTCAGATTTTACAAATCAAATAAGTAGGTTTACAGTTACTTAAAAATTAAAGTACAAGATCCCAATAATGAATGTAACTGTACCGTATACCTAAAATGTACCAATAAATTCAATTAAAAATAACAAAAAATTGAAAAATTTTCTTAAGTAATATAAAAAGTAAATAACGATACAGAAAAAACATTAAAAGTGATTGCATTTTTCTAATTTTCTATCTTCAAAAAATTTTGCACTTGATCTTAGCCAAAAAATTTTAAAGATAATACCTCCTCTTTCGTTTTTTATTTTTGTGTCTTTCTTATTAGCGTACATCATTTATACAGATTTATGAGTAATTTGGGCAATTTGTACATAAACATAACACATTCAAGCATTTTTACCACCCATTACGCCTTTGAAGAAAACTAACAAGAAGAAATGTTTAGAAATATTATTGGTGAGAAATAAAATATAATTTAAGAAGATGTGGCAAACTACAAGATTATAATGTTCTTGTGCAGAGAAATAAGTAGTGAGAAATGAGAACTGATTGGTAGTTGTAGAAATTTCTGTAGAAATGTCTGAGGAAGAGAGTGTTCTGATTATAATGACAGATTTCAATTACCTAAGGTAGAATAAGCTATTCTTGGATTTGAGAAAGAAAGCATAAAAAGCAGTATGAAGTGTTTCTTGGTAATAGTCAATTCACAAGTTATGAATCACCAAGAAACTTTTCTAGGATCTAATTTGTCTCTTGAGTGAGCATCTTATGAGGAAAAAGATGCCTGATATCAAAGGTTGCCCCAAATAATGAAGCCATTTCTGTGTCCCATTGAAAAGGAATTCACTGTCAAACTGATATTTGCAACCACACTGTTTTATCAGAGAGAGAGACAGTTCATCATTCCTGGCTGGATCTATAAAATCAGGTTCCTGAATCTACCAAATTAAGGGCCATACCTGGTCTGTAATAATTTCTATTGTAATATATATGAGCTGGCAAAAATTGTAATAATGTTCCAAACATCATCACCTTACTGACGGTAGCAGATGTAGAGATAGGATTTAGTTCCCAATAGCACATGCTGAGCCTCTGCTATGGGTTTTCTGCATGATACACAGGAACCTGGGGGATTTCAACTTACCAATGCTTTGTCCATCATCCCAGAATATCTGACCTTCAGCTTTCCCACCATCATCTAAAGCAACAGTCAGTCCCATAAAATTTTGTCGACTACCAAGAAAAGGAAAGAGTCATTTTTCACTAGACTGTAGGTCATAAGAATGAGGATCATTAGCTGCTAAAAATATTATCTATCCAGAAATAAAAGGAATGTGTGAAATATGTACATGAGATTTAAAAATAGGTAAAATGAGATAAAATATAGGATTTGTAACAGCCAATGGAAAAGCATCTAAAATTTAATGAAACATTTGGTTCAACTTTCAAAAATCAAATACAGTATACATACTTTGAAAATACTCATATTGCAAGTAATATGATGAGATATGGATTCCTTAAGAAGAAGACCTAAGAAAAAAGGAACCCTTCAATAGCTTTCTGGTTTCTACAGAATAAAATTCAAAGTACTAAAGCATGGCATTCAAGATTTACTTGAATTATGAGGAAGCAAACACAGCTCTCTCTTACCTGGAATGAGTGTTAATTGCAGGCTCTTGCCAAGGCAGAATGTAGCCTCCTCTGACATGAAGGTTGATGTGGTCGAGGGGAGCCTTCAGTATTTCCCAAACACCTGTAGATTCATGGCCATATTCCTAGAAGGGGGCAAATAGGCAAGGAATAGTGAGGGGAGAATGTATTAAATAGGTGAATGCATTGCTGCAAATCCTTCCTTTCCAAGAAAGTATGTTGGAAAACAGTGCAAACTTGCAGAGAATGGCCCTTGCTTTTCATGTTTGCTGAGACTCTGAAAGCCTAGACTTATCTGTATCCCCAGAAAAGATGGGTGGTGAGCATCCGTGCAGTGTAGGTGCTAAGTTGTCAATTTATTCTTGTACTTATACTTTCACTTAACCTTGTCAAAGCTGAAAAGGTTGGAAATGATTGCCTAAGAAAATATGTGTGGGGAAGTCAGGAGAAAGCTCTAGATACTTCTTTAGCCTGTATGGAACAATGTTTACTCTTACCATGCTATAATCATACCACTGGCCTCTGGGAAAGTAAGCCAAGATCTCAGAAGTGTTCTGAAACATAAAATCAACATGTCACTACAAATATTCCAATAATGCAATCACATATTTTTAAATAATTTTTGTAGCATTAAGATAAGATAGAATTTGATTTGGATATTGAGAATTTGAGGACTTTTACTGAGAAAGATTCTAGAAATTTCTTCTGCAAATACACAGAAAAAGATTTTGAAAACTGTAAAAGATACAAACTTCCAGAATAAGAAATCAATCAGTATTGTTAAATTTTTGTTAATGGAGATCTGGAAAGGAGAAAAAGTTTCCTTTTAGATATTCTAGAAAGTCATTTGTTTGAAAACAGTGAACTGAATGAGACAAGATGATCTTTAAAATGGTTTTCCTGTGGCTTTAAACTATGTGACTAGAGGATCTGACCTAGAATGAAAAACTCACACTTTCCAGCACAGGGCTGACCAAAACAGCAGGGCCCAACATGAATTGGCGGTCTATATCCCAAGTTGATCTGTCATGTGTAAACCTTAAAAAAACACATATGAAAAAGTCACCCATACCTTCACTGTCACAGAGAATTGTTTTTAAGATAGTTCCAGAGGTGCTGCTTGAAGAAAGGCTATACTCACTCATGTAGGAGAGATCGAATGACAGTGCTGCCCTCCGTGTGAGCTTTGTACATCAGGGTGTAGAGATAAGGCAGCAGGGTGTACCTGGTCTGCAGGACTTTTCTTGAGAACATCTCAAAGGTTGAATTCCAGGCCACAGGATCTTGTCTCTAAAAAGATAAGAGAGTGTGTAACAGATTACCTCTTCTTCACTCCATTCTAGTGGTATCAGAATAGGATCACCCAGCATTCATTTCACATGAAGGTCACACATTACACCTCCCTTCATTTCTAACCTACCCCTGCCCTTGTCAACTACAAACCTAGAATTTGTTGCCCTCCTATTTATCAGTAATCCTCACATTCCCTGTACAGGTCTAGCTTTAACCCTGCACACATGTGGAAAGACAGGTCTCTACATAGCACTGATGTATCTCAGGTGGATTTAAGTAAAAAAATTTAATGTTCCTAAAGGTAAATGGGGGGCGGTGTCATATTTTTAGCTCCATGGATGAGTTATAAAGACTTATCTCCTCTAGTTCCTAATCCTCAGGAAATGAAGAAATATATTCTTGAAAGCTTTTAATAATTCTGGGGTTCTGAACATTGTGGGTTTTCTACAAAATAAAAGTCTTGGTGATTTTTATGATTTGGGGGGTATAATTATGATTTTTTATGAATTAAAAAGAAAGTGCTATTCAGGGCCATAGAACAACTATAGCTTGAACAACAACTTCACCCTGGTTCCAATGGTGTTGTGATTCCTAGAAAATGGATAGAAGGCCCCCAGCTGCATCCAGCGAGCACACATCTCATATTCGGCATCTCCAAAGAACCCACAGATGTCTGCTCCTGTCTGAGAAGATGCAACATCAGAGTATGAATGGTCAGTGAAATCTGAGCAGGTAGTTAGTAATGGCCTCCCTATGACTTACATAAGGTATTCCGAAGAGACTGAACTCCATCATGCCTGCAATGAGACAATAGGGACATTTTAGGCGAGCCCTTTGAGGAGAGGCAAAGCCTGACTTCTCTTTTCCTTTTCCCGTTAAAAAGCCTGGGCCATGAATGGTGAAAATATTGAAAGATGAGAATGAATTAAAACTCACACCCTTAGAGAACTCAATTCTTGTTTTCCTACTGTTTATCTAGATGATGGTCTAGATATACACAGTGTAACCAAATAAAACACTCCAGTACCCATGCCACCACCATCAGAGGCCCCAGGAACAGGCCCATGTACCGATGATAGATTTCCCCAGCTCGTCCCATGCAGCCGTGTTGTCTCCCAGCCAGTGTCCTGCCCAGCGGCCAGAGGAGGGGAATGTGGAGCGGGTGATGACAATTCCTCGCTGTCCTGTCACCTCCTGCACAGCCCTAGATGGAGAAAACCAAGAAGGTGAATTTAAGGATTGACAAAGAGCAGCTGCAACTTGACCATGAGGTAGCTGAGCTGTTCCATTCAGAGTGAAAGAACTTCTTTCTAGAAAGGATCTGTCATCTAAAAATGACACTAAGGAAAAGAAATAAGGGAAAAGAAAAAATATGAGAAAAGGAAAAAATGGAAACAAAGCCTTTGTAAATAAGGGAGGGTAGAGGGGTGAAGGAAGGCAGGAGTAGGGGGAAAAATGAGAACCAAGATCTGTCATGTCATGTAAAGGTACAAGATCCCAATGATAAATGTAACTGTACTATATACTTAAAAAGTACCAATAAACTCAATGAAAAAAATAAGTAAAATGAAAATGACACTAAGAATTCCAACCAACTTCACAGGAGGTCTAGGAAAGAGATGCCTGCACCCAGAATGTGGATTTTTTTTAAATCTACTTAGTTCTATATGGTGGTTAAAAAGAGGGGGGGTAGGGGTAAGGAACAATTCTCGTGCCCACTGGTCACTTTCATGTGTTTCATCTCACACCTCCGGAGGGAGGTTTCCTTGTATCGCCCTCTTTCCTGTTAGGAAACTGAGGACCTGAGAAGTTAGGTAACTTGCAAAGACAATTTAAAGAGCAAGGAAGTAGACTTGGGGTTCAAATTACAGTATATATGGCTGCCCCTTTTTGATAACATTTATTGTACTTTGCTGTACCTCAAATAGCAGAATATGTTTTGCACACACAGGAAAATATGCATTGAAAGATCATTAAATAGCTTAGAAGATGGATCTTCTATCTGCATTTACAGAGAGAAAATTTTAAAAGTATGTGTGAGAAAAAATAATGAAATAATGTGGTTTTTCTATAAAATGGAATGCTACTCAGCCATAAAGAATGAGAAATTAGATCCATTCATAGGAAAATGGATACATATTAAGGATATACTCGTAAGTGAAATAAATGTCACACATGTATAAATACTGAATAGTTTCTCTGGTGTGACAAACTATAATAGTACAAAAGATTCTAATGATATAATTGACAACGTGAAATAGGAAGAAAGGCTAAAGGTGTAGGGAAAGTGGGAAGGGTAGGGGAAGGGTAATAAGGGAAAAGAAAAAATATGAGAAATGAAAAAAGGGAAATAAAGTGTTTGTAAATGAGGAGGGGAGGAGGGGGTGAAGGGAGGGCAGGGACAAGGGGAAAAAATGAGAACCAAGACCTGTCATGTAAAGGTTCAAGGTCCCAATAATGAATGTATCTGTACTGTATACCTAAAATGTACCAATAAACTTAGTGAGAGAAAAAAATAGTGAAATAAAAGAGAAGTCTATTAACAGATACTAGTGTATTTGAAATCCACAAACTAAAGAAAGCACCACAAGTATAGACAGAGAGGAATTATTCAAAACAAGATGTTAGTGAAAGTAAAGATGTCAGTGGAGTAAAACTAACCCATTTGGTTAATTCCCACTATTTGACACCAAAATAAATCCAAAAAATGGAGATGTGCCTACAATTTATTGAAATTGTATATATGTAATATACTATATACACAAGGGAAAAGTGGCCCACAAAAAAATGCCACCAGGCAGACTTAACAGAGAAGAACTTTTAATTAGCTACAGTAAATATGTTAAAAAACTAAAAGCATATCTAAAAAACTAAAGGAAAGTATGATTATGTTGTATCAATAAAGAAAATATTAATAAAGAATTAAAAACTACTAACAAGCCAAATGGAAATTTTGTAGTTGAAAAATATAATAAAATGAAGCTAAAATTTATAGAGTGACTAGACTTGGTATCTGATTTGGTTAGTAGATAAAAAGAGCCAGCAAACTAAAGACAAAACAGTAGAGATGAACCAGTCTTAGGAACCAAAAGAAAGGAAAAATGAATAGTGCCTCAGATTTCTGGAACACTATCAAGTGTAGCAGCATACATTCAGTAGGACTCAGAAGGAGAAATGGACAGAAAAATATTTGAAGAAATAACAGCCAAAAATGTATACACTGAAAACTATACATTACTGATGAAATAAATTGAAGAAAATCTAAATAAATGGAAAGACATCTCACATTAGTGAATTAGAAGATTTAATATTGTTAGATGCCAATACTCTTCCAAATTGATCTGTAGATGCAATGTAATCCCTATCAAAATATGTACTGAATAAAAGTAAAGATTCATATCTTATTAATACTTCTGTATATTAATGTGTAAAGATGGATACAGGGGTCAATGGAAAATAATCAAAGGTCCATAAATGATGCCACTTACTGATTGTTGATTTATTTTTTAAAAGTACAAAGATAATTAAATGGGCAAAAGAATGGTATTTTCAATGAACTAGGGTAGTTGTATATCCACATGCAAAAGAATAAAGTTGAACTTCTATATCACACCATAAATTAGATGAAATTTAACTTAAAATGGATCACAGATCTTGGTGTAATAACTAAGCCTACAGCTCTTAAAGCATTAGAATGAGTTTTATCACTTTGATTTATGCAATTGCTTCTATGATACTAATAGCACACATGACAAGTGAATAATTGAATAAACTCTTTCAATTTCTCCTTCTTCCTTTTAATGTTTATGTGGCAGCCAAATGCTGACAAGAAATGTTTTTTAAAAATTGATTGAAACAAGATTTGAAATTTCCTCAAAATTAAAAAATATGTTTCAAAGAACATCAAGAAAAATAAAAATTGATTGAAACAAGATTCGAAGTTTCCTCAAAATTAAAAAAACTCTTTCAAAAAACATCATTAAGAAAATGAAAAGACCATCTACAAAAGAAGAGAAAAATATACAACTCATTTGTCCATCAAGAAACTTGTATCTAGACTATATATGGAATTTTTGCTATTTAATAATAAAAACAATTTAAAGGCAAAAGATTTGAATAAACATTTATGCCAAGATGATAAGCAAATAGCCAATAAGCATATGCAAAAATGCTCACTCAACTGCAACAGTTATTCAGAAAATGAAGTCAAAACAACAATTAGATATACACCATGCCCAATAGAACATCTTTAACCAAAGAGATGAACAATAACTGCAACATTCATACAATGCTGGTGGGAATGCAAAATGCTATTTTTCAATGCAAAATTCTTTAGAAAACAGCTTGGCATTTCTTCAACATATTAAAAATACAGTTATAATAAAATCCAGAAGTTCCACTTCTAGATACATATTCAAGAGAAAGAAAACATATTTTCTTTCAAAATCTTGCAGTTAGTGTTCATAGCATCTCTATTTATAGCAGTCAAAAAGTGGAAATAACTTTAATGTCCACCAACTGATGGATAAACAAAGCATGATATACTTGTACAATGGAATATTATTTATTAGTAAAAAGGACTGAAGTGCTGAGACATGCTATAACATAAATGGACCTCGAAAACACTACACCAAGTGAAATAAGCTAGTCACAAAAGAGCATCTATTGTAAGGTAAAAGCCAGTCATAAAAGACCACAGAGAATAGGCAATGCACATAGATAGAAAGTAGATTAGTGGGGAGGTGTCAGGAGAAGGGGCCAAGGGTAGGAATGACTGCTATGAGTCAGTTTTCCTCTGAGAGTGAAAAAAATGCTCTAAAACTTTATTTTAGTGATGACTGTACCACAGTATGAACATCCTGCAACATCACCTAATTAATCACTTTAAACAGATGTATTTAATGACTTAAGTGAGACATGTTTTCAGAGGTATCGTGGTTGGGCAAGTAGGCCGGATATTTGAAAGTTTCTCTGGTATTGGGTAGAGGTATGGGCACAATACAAATAGAAAGTAACAATGTAGTAAGTTGCCTTTGCTGCAAGAGATGAAGACGCACTTACTCGTACGTGGGCCTGGTCTGGGACCACCCATATAGGCTGTGGACGTCGTAGTGTTGCACCGAGGAGCCATCCAGCAAGATCTGCTCACTCTCCATGCATAGGGTCTTACTGCTCAGGCCTCTGTCCCTAGATGCCAAATCTGAGAGCGAATACTGAGTTACTTCCCAACCAGGGATTTGTATGTTTGCTAGAGATGACCATCATTTTGGCATTTCTCTATTTCCATCAATAACTTTGTTATCAAATATAGGCCCTACTTCTTTAAGTTGTTTTACGTACAAAATCAACATCTTTCGACTTAATAACTGCTAAAGGGTCAGAATCTGTTAGGGACTGGGAAAAGCACTCTTCTTTTTGTTCCAACTCTGACTAATAGCACAGCCATAGCCCTTTGCTTGCTGTGACAAATTCCTTTGTTGTTAGGACTGTATCTTCCACTAGATGGTATTGTTCTCAAGGGAATAAATCTTACTTCCATCAATTTTGTGGAATTGTCTAAATCTACACCTTTTTAAACTCGGTTACTAATTTATCAGTTTCTCCTTATTCAAGGTTATTCTGTTTGAAATTCTATGACATGTTGAAATTACATTCTCTCAGAATTTGGTTTCGCTTTGACAGTAAAGGGGAAACTTAAGGGTTTTCAAGCAGGAAAGTAACTTCACAAAGTAAATATTTTACATACATGGCATATAGGGTGGGTTATTGAGAATTTCATTGCGGCAGCCCTCAACAGATCCGTCCATAAAGTTTGATGGCTCATTCATATCCTGAAATAAATTAACAGAAAAGACCTGTCATTTGGGGGCAGTATCTTCCTAGTTGTGGAGAACATTAATTTCATGGAGATGACTAAGCTATTCTGAACCATTGTACTCTGCTTAAAGCCTGGCATTGACTGTAAGAACCTAGGTCACTTTAAATGGACTGTTGGGGTGAAGGGAGGGTGGGGGCAAGGGGAAAAAATGAGAACCAAGACCTGGCATGTAAAGGTACAAGATCCCAGTAATGAATGTAACTGTAGTGTCTACCTAGAACGTACCAACAAACTCAATTTAAATACAAAAAATAAATGGACTGTTAAACCCCTTCTAGTTTCTGTGGACTTTTTACATGTGTGAAGAATATGTGATAGCAACAGAAATATTAAGATGATGCCCATGCAGGGCTTAAGGAAATCTCTGATTCATACCCCCATACACAAGGAGCCTGTCTGTTTTTCTATCCATGGATTATTCATTTTGTATCTGTAGTGGTGGTCACTATGATGTTTATCTTCCCTTTAACCCAAAATATTGAATTAATTCTGACATTGCTATAGACCAACCACAAGGTGAGATATCTTATTTTTTGCTGTAGATACATTCCAGAAGAGCTGTACATAACCAAGAAATAAAATTGCATATTGAAGGACTTAAAATTTAAGGCATAGGGATCCTCAAGAGAATGTTCACTGTACACTTTATCAATAGATAAGTTAAAATTTTGTAGGATGGACTATCTTAAATAGGCCATACCGAAGCAAAGGTAAGTATTTGGGAGCCATTAATTATTCTGAGCTACAGCATTTTCTCTGTTGGAACAACCACCCCACAAGCAATCAAAATCTTTGATTTCCCAAGGGTATCGAAATCTCTTTTTTGTCTAATTGGCCTGTTTGGGTTAACTTGTGTCCTTTCACATGTCTACTTTGTACCTATCTGTCCTGAAGATTCAAGTGTCCAGGAAGGTCCTAGGGCAGCCAGTGGGTTATTATAGTTTGTCTCTGGGTGAATTACCAGCTTATTTCAGCCTGGCCCAGACCTGAGCAGGTCTTCATGGTGGGCCTAGAATTTGCTTAAGAATTTAGGCAACTGGATAACAGAGAAAAGTTAATGACATTGATATGCTTCCTGTCTCTAGAGAAAAGTAAATAATGGAGCCATCTCAGGACATCTCAGGATGTCTACAGACATCTCAAGAAGCCCTGCCTCAGGGCCAACTAACACAAATAGCACACAGCTGAACAAGATTTGAAGCCTCAGGGTAGTCTGTTCCAGTCCTGATCTGAATGTTTTAGCTCTCAGATTCATGCCTTGCCTGCTTCCAGTTCCTCCGTGAACTACAGGATGGGCTTCCAGCCTTCTGGGTAGGTTTGCCCAATGAGAGCCACTGGCAAGAGACTGACGTGTTGGGGTGAGAGATGCCAGAAAAATGTTCTATCTCCCCTATGTTCTGGCACTTCCAGCAGTGGTACATCTCGATAGCTACAGCTTCCACCAAACAACACATCGCTAGGCAGATCCACAATAATCTGATTCTGGTCCCAGCACCTAGATTCTGTAACAAGACCACCCCTTTTCCTCCAGTCCCAACTCCAGGCTTAGCAAGACTCTGAACTGACTCCCCATGCTTTGACTGCTAACGTTTCTAGAGATCAGCAACTGAGGTGCACTTACAATCCACAGTCCATCAAACTTCAAACTCTTCGCTGGTTCTCGAGGGTTTGAGTAGAGCTCTTGTATTTCCTTCTTCCACCATGCAGTTGTGCTATTACGAAAGAAGTCAGGAAAAGCAACGTGGGCCCGGTACAGCTGCAAGAGTAACATACACTTTTGGGGTCTCCACCCATTCCGGAAGGGTAGGCCGGGGATCAGGAAGGGGAGATCAGCAGATGAACAGGTATTTGTGTCTACCCAGCTCAGTCTCTGATCTAACCTCAGTCAGTCACTGCTGCAGAATTTACAGTGAATATAGAGTTAGGTGAAGGCTGCTTTCACTCTTAATTTTATTTTTTAAATTAATTTTATTGGGTGTGAAGGGAGGGCAGGGACAAGGTGAAAAAATGAGAACCAAGACCCGTCATGTAAAGGTACAAGATCCCAGTAATGAATGTAACTGTACTGTATATATAGAAGGTACCAATAAACTCAATAAAAGAAAAAATTAATTTTATTGCTACATTTAATGTATACAATATAATGGCATTCATTGTTGGAAATTTGTACCTTTATATAATCAATCTTGGTTCTTCTTTTTCCCCATTCCCCTGCCCTCCCTTAAACCCCTCCTCCCTCTCTCCCTATCTGCAAAGACTTTGTTTCCAATATTTTTCATTTTATCATATTAATTCCATTCCCTTCCCCTTTCCCCTCCCGTTTCCCCTTACTCTTTGTTAATTTTCTTACAAAAAAAGGTTATGTAGTTTTATTTTGTTTTCATTTTTTTATATATCTTTGATTTGTTTTTTTGAGACAGGGAACTTTTTATCATTAAGTTTATTGGTACAATTTATATATACATAATAACCACATTTCATCCTATGGAATTTGTACCTATAATAATATATCTTGTTTCATATTTTTCCCATTCCCCTGCCCTCCCTTCTACTCCTTCTTACTTACAAGAGCTTTGTTTCAATTTTATATTTCTTTTCTTTTTTCCTTATCTTTTTATCTTTCTTATCTTTTTTTTTTCTTTTATTTTCTTCCCTTCCCTCTCCTTCCTCCCTTGTGCCTCTTCTCATTTGAACATTTTGTTCCTATTTCACAAAATCTATTATACATTTTGGTCCTTATTTACAATTTCAACAAGTTGGAATTTACATATGTGTGTCTGATTTATTTCTCTTAAGAGTATGGCTTTAGGTGCATCCATTTAGCTATAAGCAAGTGTCTCAAGTTTATCCTTCTTTATGGCAGAATAGTAATCCATTGAATAAAACAAAACACATCTTTATCTATTCATCAGTTGATGGTGATTTGGGTTTTTTTTTTAATAGGATTTAGTTTTCACAGACTGCTGTTTTGAACATGAGTGTGCATTAACACTGTGGTTTGATGCTTTTAATTCTTTGAGGAAGATATTGAGAAGGATAACTGAGTCACATGGAACCTCTAGTTCTAGTTTTTTGAGGAATCTCCACACTGATTTCCACAGTGATTGCCCCAGTCTACACTCTCACCAACAGTGAAGAAGGGTTCCTTTCTTCCCATATCCCTGCTAACATTTGTTATTGGCTGATTTACTGATAATAGCCATTTTTCTGGAGAGAGATGGAATTGCAGCATGTTTTAATTTACATCTCTTGAATGACCAGTGATGTTAAATCTTTTTTCATATATTTATTTGCTGTTTGTACTTCTTCATCTGAGAAGTTTGTATTCATCTCAGATATACATTTTTAGATTGGATCTTTAAATATGAGGGGTCTGATTTTTTTTTAGTTCTTTATATATTCCAGATAACAGTCTTTTGTCTGAGGTATAGCTGGCAAAATTTTTTTCCTGATCTGTTGGTGATTTCTTTTGCTGTGCAAAAGCTTTTTAATAAGATGAGATCCCAGTTGTTGATTCTCTGTAATATTTCCTATATGGTTGGGGGTTTGTTCATGAAGTCTTTGCCTACATCATTCCTAGAAGCAAGTATTGCCCTGATATGAAAATCAGGAATGATCCAACCAAACAAGATAACTACAGGCCAATATCCCTAATAAACATAGATGCAAAAATCCTCAAGATACTGGGAAACAGAATGCAGTAAATCATAAAGAATATGATATACAACAATCAAGTAAGATTCATCCAGTGATGCAGGGATGGGTCAACACATGCAAATTAATAAATTTGAAACACCATATTCACAGAGCCAATATATGATCATCTCAATAGTCACAGAAAAAGCATTTCACAAAGTATAACACCCATTTGTGATTTTTTAAAAAGCTTACAGAAAATTTGAATAGATGGCATTTATCTCAATCTAATGAAGACTATCTATGACAAACCAACAGCCAACATCATACTAAATGGTCAAAAACTGAACCTTCATTCTAAAATCAGGAAGATGACAAAGATATCCACTATCACCACTCCTATTCAAAATAGTCCTGAAAATCTCCAGAGCAATTAGACAAGAGAAAGGAATAAAGATAGGAAAGGAAGAAGATAACCTATCATTTGCAGAAAGGTTGCATGATACTCTACATAGAAGACCCCAAAAACTCCAACAAAAGACTTCTATATTTAATAACCAAATTCAGTCCTGTAGCTGGATACAAACTCAACACTCAAAAGTCAGTAGCAACTTATTGAGAGAGAAATTAGGGAAACCATGCTTTTCACAATAGCATCATCATAAAAAAAAAACAGAAAAGAAAGACTTAAGAATTGATCTAACAAAGGAAGAAAAAGATCTTTACATTGAAATCTATAGTACTTTGAAAAAGGAGATCATGGTGAAGGGAGGGCAGGGACAAGGGGAAAAAATGAGAACCAAAACCTGTTATGTAAAGGGACACGATCCCAATAATGAATGTAACTGTACTGTATATCTAAAATGTACTAATAAACTCAATAAAAAAAGAAAAAGGAGACCAAAGAGAGCATCAAAAAATGCAAATATATCCCTTGCTCATGGGTAGGAAGAACCAACATAGTAAAAAATGGCCATACTCAAAATTGTTTTACAGATTTAATGCAGTCCTAATCAAAATACCAATAGCATACTTCAAGGAACTAGAGAAAAATACTTCTAAAATTTATTTGGAACCAGATGAGACCTAGAATAGCAAAAATAATTCTAGTCAACAAAGGCAAGGCAGGGAACATCACAATCCCTAGTCTGTAACTGTACCACAGAGCTACTGTAAAAACAGCATGGTACTGGCAAAAAAGAGACTTATGCAGAAACAACTCCAAACACCCTCAGCCACCTTATCTTCAACAGAGGGGCCGAACACCTTCACAAGAAGAAAGATGGCTTCTTCAATAAATGGTGGTGGAAAAACTGCCTTTCTATAAGCAAAAACAAAAACTAGACTCATGTCTCTTACCACACAGTAAACTAAAATTGAAACTGATCAAAGATCCAAATAGTAAAACAGAAACACTAAATCTGTTGTTGGAAGAGCGAATAGGAGGAACTCTTAAAGATACAGCTGTAGATTATAGAGTTTTAAATTCCATTTTAAATATAGAACTTGTAGCCAGGTGTGGTGGAGCGTGCCTGTAATCCCAGCACTTGGGAGGCTGAGGCAGGAGGATTGCTGTGAGTTCGAGACCAGCCTGGGCTACATAGTGATTTCCAGGTCAGTCTCAACTACATAGTGAGACCCTGTCTCAAAAAACCAAAAATATAAACAAACAAACAAATAAATAAATATAGGACTTGTTTTATCACTATACTTTCAGTCATGGGAACTGGGAAATTAACAATCAATGTTGAAGCAATCAAATTTAAAAGATAACATTTTTTCTAGACTGGCCAAATGCAATGAAAAAGGACCCACCATCCAGGAAGAAGTTAGCCGCACAGCAGTGAAGTTGTTAGTAACAGGCTAGAGTGATAGTAACGGCTGTGACCAAGGCCTTTGCTTTTTTTTCACTGGCTGGTATTTTTGGGGGATATGTAGGTAATTCACTAAAATCCAGCATAGCCTTCCAGTGCAAATATTCTAGACTTTGGTTCATTATTTTTCAAGCAATATCTGCTTCAAATCACAATCCATAAAAGGAATAATGTGAGGGATTTCATTGATGATTTCTTTCTATAAATCTCCATTTTAGTTGTTGGGTTTTTCATTTCAAGATCATTTTCCACCAAAAATGATCAGCAGATGAGCACACTCATGTTGGAGCTGCTCAATCAGAGGATATGTTACTTATTGACCTGGGTAAAATATATAAGTATTCAGATATTTAGAACAATAGAGGCAGAAATTATGTACAACTGTACCTTAACCTGAGTCTCATGGTCAAGGGATTCATCTATATTTACATTGGGCAGCTCTGGCCAAACCTAGAGAAAAAGAAGAAAAACTTTAAAAGTTTTTGTATATAGACATTGAGGTGTTTCATATTTTAGACTTGATTACAAACATCTCCACAAAATGGTAGGGTAACTTTATCATAAATTAAATTACAAAAGCAGAATATGCAAAATTTTGCTAGGTACAAGCAGGCTGCATCTCTTGGTTCATTCTGTTAGTTTTTATAATTTCATATTTTGAATTTAAAAGTAAATAATTGTATTTTATTGTATCTTCTGAAAAATCTTCTTTCAAACAATTTCTCAGCTCTCTCATCTGCCTTTTATTTTTATCTATAACAAAATTCCTTTTGTAAATAATAAATATGAAGCACAACTCTAAACAATAGGATTAATTTCTACTCAGAGCCCATAAACTTAGTTCCAACACTTTTAAGCAATATCATGGCTTATTGAAGACCATAGTATCTGTAGCATTTAAAACTTCATAGTATCAGCTAGTCTTATCTATAATTAGTAGGATATTGAATATAAATTTTCAATCAAAAATATTTTTACTTTACACCAAACACTCTTCTAGGGTTTATCTCTACCGAAATTTAATTAGGAAATGATGTTTGTTTTCTAGGCATTCACAGGTAGTGAATATATAAGTACTCTATCGTATGCTGAACTGTTGGAGGGCAAAGACACAGACATAAGAAAAAAAGAAGAGCTAAGACAGTTATCTAGCACTTCACAAGAGATGAGATTTAAAGAGCAGGCATTATCTGGGTAAACTGAGAAGCCAATATTCAAAGTGAGCAGAGCACATATGTGGCAGCATACTAGAATTAAACAGAAGAGTTTGAATCCAGGCTAAGAGATAATATCATCTGTGGTGAAGAAATCTACCTCAAATACTACTGCTACCAGTCAGACACATGTGGATGCAGATGGATGAATCCAAGGAGACAAGAGAAAGGAGATCTATAAGACTTAGTGGCTCATTTAGATAAGAGGTTGACTACTCATTATAGATCAAGGGGAAATATTTGTTTTAAATTTAGGTGTCTGGGAAACACAGATTTCATAGTCACTCTCTAAGAGGTTTTTCATGTTTGTTAAATGGCCAGCTAGAATACATAGTGAAGTCATCAGAATATTTTTCAGACCATAACTTCACACTCAATATTTTAGAAAATTAGATCTTGGTCTTATTAGTATTTATTGAGCTAATTAGTATCAGATACATTTTTACTCTCATAATTTATTAAGTGCTCTTCATATCTTCCAAGATTTATTAAAAATCTCTTTTGGTGTAGATTTTGATTTATTATAGACACTTTCCTCAAGCCTTACCTTTCCCCAGACAACATCATTGGTGTCCGGCCATTCAATGAACACGTTGTCTTTCTGTCCTCTGGTGAATGTGAGATAATGTGTCTCATTTCCAGAAATGGCTGGGTCCTACAGTGAATGGTTTCAAACAGAGAACATGATAGGATTTAGAACATCTCGAAGGATATTACTCTCAAGAAATTTGATAATTCATAGTACAGAAATAAAGAAATACCCATGGATAATTTGACTTACACCTACAGGATATATTACCAAAACCAATTGAAATGGAAAGTTGCTATTGATATTCAAAATAAGATACATAACCATTATGAAGCACAATCTTTTTCAAAGGCACTGAGATTCTGAAAAAAAATAAAGGAGTCTTTCTATATTATAGAAAGTACCCACCCAGAGTTTAACTAATGAAATGGAAAAACTCCTATAGCAATTGAAATATGACATGACATGAGTGATTCTCCCTGTAACTTAGAAATCCATTTAAAAGGAGAGAATGGGTGGCAAAATAATATATTGATGTTTCTCCACAAATTTCTTGAGAAAAAAATACTAATGTTCAAAAACAACCCCTAGAGCTAAACAAGTTTAATGAGACATTGTCTTCAAGCAGGGAGAGCATATTTATTGCATCTCCAGAGCAAAATAGCAATAGTCCTTAAGAAAATGTAACTTTTTTATTTTATTATTTGTCCAGGTTGCTCATCTAAAAGGGCCTACTTGGTTCACCCCATCTTATATCTGCCCTAATTTCCCTCTATAATGCTATGCTACTACACAATTGTCATATAAAACATCACTATCTGAAGTTATTAGCTGTCTTGATCCTCTAGAATAAATGTCTTTTCAGAAAAGAAGACATTGGCTTACTCAATAATTTAAAATACACACACACTCACACACACACACACACACACACAAGTTCTAGGACAGAGATTTTCAAATAATCAGTATTAGTAAATCTTTGAATTAATGAACAAATAAAATTCATGCTCTAATTTTGGAAGAGGGAAAATATTTTCCAGTGACTACTTCCATATTTACTAAGATATAGATTTTAATACAAAATAATAAGTTGGTATTCTGGATCCTAACTCAGTTGTTTATAAGCATAGCAAATGAGAAATTAGTCCTCTGGGGTTCACCATTGCTGAGTGATGATATTTGAATTAATGAACAAATAAAATTCATGCTCTAATTTTGGAAGAGGGAAAATATTTTCCAGTGACTACTTCCATATTTACTAAGATATAGATTTTAATACAAAATAATAAGTTGGTATTCTGGATCCTAACTCAGTTGTTTATAAGCATAGCAAATGAGAAATTAGTCCTCTGGGGTTCACCATTGCTGAGTGATGATATAACCTAAGAGATTTTGAACCTCTTGAGGAAAGATGAGAGTAAAGATGTAGCTGTTCTTTGTAAGGCATAATTTGCATCAGTGAGACACTTTTTTATATATATTCAGTGTTTCTGCTCACAATTCTTTTCGCTCTACTAACAGTACTAGTGAATTATATTCCTGTAACACTTAGCTATGAAAAATATAGTATCAGAAAGCATTGTCTCTTAAAAGCCATTTTTACTTGTTATTTGCTTTTTTCCAACTTAAAAAATAACTACAGATTCACAAGAAATTGCCAGAAATGTACAAAAATCTTTCCTGTACCCTTCATCTAGTTTCTTTCCTTGTTTTTTTTTTTTGAATGATGAATATAGAAACTGAAAACGGCATCTAATCAGTCTCAATACCTACCAAAATGAGAATAAATCTTGTGCCATTTTTCTTCATTTGCTCAACCACGAGACCAAGATTTTGAAAGTTGGGGCTGAGGGTGAAGTCCAGCTTCCGGTCCATATAATCGATGTCTACATGTTGAACGTCCTACAGGAAGGAGCAATCAAGATCCCCAGGACCCTGCAGCAGTACCTAAAGGGAATACTAACTGCTCTGCCATACTCCAGAACCTGCTGTATACCCTGCTGATTAAAACTACTTTCTGATTTCTGTCCCCATTCTTCTTTCTGTTTACCTACCTGGAACTCTCCCCTTTTCATTTGTTAATTCATAACTTTCTTACTCTTCAAATCTCAAATTCAGTAAGCCTGTCAAACTACTAGTTGATATATTCAAGCATAGAAAGTGAGACTTTCTTAAGAAACAAACACAAGATTGTATATCTAGATTTCCCACTATACTACCTTACTGGATGTATTCATTTTAGAACTATATTATTTTAGAGCTTTCTAGAATATATAAATAATTATCTGTGAGTACAGTACCAAGCCAGGTTTCTGCACTCAATCCATGTTTGCTGAATGGTAGAGAATGGAATTAATATTAGGGTAAAAAATTTAAAAACACTTCTGTTTAGGCTGAAGTTAATAATCACTCATACTGCCTTGGACTCTAGGTAAAACTTGTTTGGCAAAAGGGCGATTTGTGCATAAGCCAAACATTTAGCAAGGATTAACTAGAAGATTATTTGCATAAATTGCTTTAATAAGATAGATCTATGGATTTTTCTTCTAATCTTCTTATTTCTGCTTAATAAGCATAATATATATATATATGTATATATATATAAACTGATGCATGTATCAAAAATTATCTTTGATGAGATCATAGCACCTTGTTTTTACCTTCTAATCATTAACTATCCCGCACAGTCTCAGGAGCTGAAGTGAAAGCTTGAAAGAAGAATGAGTGATGAATCACTAATTATAAGGAGAGAAGGAGCATGCTATTTAATTCTGCCTGTTGACAACCACTGATGATACTTCTCAGTGCTTTCCTGGGGAACTGGATGGCATACAAGCGTATGTGGGTATGTGTGTTAGAGAAGATGAAGGTTTCTTTCTAAGTGTTTTTTTTGTTCACATTGTCACTTTATATCCTTCCTTGAGCCCAGCTGTGGCTACTGCAGAATTTCCCAGTAAGAGGCAGTGAGTGCCTATATCCTCTTTTTGCCAACCACTGAAGGGTCTATACAACTCTTAGTTTTGAACCTTGATCTGTAGTAATGTTAAAAAGCAATCTACACATGACTAGCTCCACAGGTACATATTTTTATACTACAGTAGTCACAACAGTAATTTCTATAGATCTTTTTTCAATATAAAATACAAATTCTGATAACTAGAAAGCAGAACTTGAGTGAGGATATGAAAGCTGAGTTTCATACATAGGGAATCTGGGCTGCTACCATTGCATCATACAAACTGGAGATTTCAGAATCACTCTGGTATCCACGGCGACTCAGCTGGAATCCCAAGGCCCAGTATGGAATCATTGCTGGTCGACCAATCAACTAGAATAGAAAAATGTTAATTACTCTGATTTGGTCATTATACATTGTGCACATGTACCAAATCATCATACCATACTTCATAAATATGTACAAATATCACACATTGTTTAAAACTTTTTCAGGAGTGAAGAAAATGAAACCAAGTAAACTCAGGGAAGAAAAGGTGATTGGCTTATAATTGAAGCATCTGGAACATTTCTACTGAGTACTCTCTGATCTCTGAGGCCCTACTCCAGAAAAGTAAGAAAGTCAAATAAATGAGAACATTATGGAGATGTAGACTGATAGAAGTATTACTATTAAAGTTACCCTGAATTCTACAGCCATCACTCTAGGAAACCCAAGGACTCAAAGTGTTGCTAACAATTAGAAATTCTTAGATGAGTGTTCCAGCAAGCAGTCAAGAGACACATGGGGCACTGATGTGCCTTCAGCATCCTGAAACACTGTAATCTGACTTTAAGAAATACATAATGGAGCAGGGAAACTCCTGGCTAAAAAGAAAAAAAAATTGGTGTACCTAATGCTAAGAACATGGTTACAATACAAAAAAAAAAAAAATTCAGTGATTTATTAATTAATAAAATGGCTTCCAACCTCAGTGTACTGCTGAGTTACAAGCTCAGGAGTTGGTCCCAAAACCATATAAAAGTCCAAAATCCCTCCTATAGTGCGGTATGTCAGGGCAGGAGTGGGCTGGAGTGTCACATCTATAAAATTAAAAAACAAAATAGGTGAGGAAAATCCATGAAGCTGTAAGTCACTCTGCTATGAAATATGCCCTCAAATTTGCAATTTTTATTCTCATTCCTCAGTAACTGGCTCCTCTAATAAGTCATTTCGCACCCAGTGAAATTAGAAATGGATTTTCAGGCATTCTAAGCACAGTTTGCCATCTCAACAATTTATATCACTCTGTGAAATGGAGGTACAGTGACCCAGTCAAATCAGGGCCATGGTTACTCAAAATTTTATACTTAGTACATGACTCAGAGCACTTAATAAAATTGTAATAAATGGATGAATGAATGGAAGGTTGATTTATTTATCTATTTTTCACCCTTGAACTTATTTCTCATGATATTCCAGATCCCAATAGAGCAGTCACAACTGTTGGTGGCAGTGCATGGGGAATGCACATCTGTCCTACCCATGGCATTGCTGTTCAGCAGGAGCACTCCATGGGCACTGCCATCTTCTTCCAATGCCATGTAGTAGGGGTGGACACCATAAGAATTCCTCTTGTACTGGTAACAGAAAGTCAAGGAGGCAATAACAAAGTGAAACCCTAGTAAATTGTTTCCACACCATTACCCAGACAGCAAACTCATACTCAACACTAAAGATGCAACTCAATGTCACATTCTTACTTGAGCCTTCTTTAGTCTTCCCTTCCACCCCCAGGGAAAGCTGCAATCTCTTCCTCTGTACTCCATTTTCTATTATTACATAATTTGATCAGAGCACCAGTTACACTGTACTGCTATTGTTTCCACACCTATCACCCTTAGCCTATAAGCCTCTGAAGAACAATAATAAAAATCTTATTAAATGTGTACCTAGCTACTTAGCAATCTTCAGGACACATAATATATTAAAGAGAAGTTTCATATTTATATCTTTTATAGACAAAAGTGCATACTATGTGACCTCTTACAAGAGAGAGTGAAAATTATCAACACTAGGTAAAGCTGATGAACAGGGCATCATTTGTGGGCAAAATAATATAAATTTGTATAGGAGAAACTGATTGTTAATTTTATTCCCATTCTTACCCCTGGTGGCTCTTCATGGGCAAACATCCCCCATGTGTTCCAGCTCATGTTTCTTCTGAACGTCGTGTGCTCAGTTTCCCCAAAACCATAGATATACTGAGAGGGGAGGCGGGTGGAAATGGAAAGGAGCATGTCGTTGAAGGTGAAGCCAGGGAGCTGAGAATCCCAACTGCAACACAAAGCAGCCCCCACACTGAGCTGGCAATCACCAGCCAGACAAACACAGAGTATACTTGGGAGGCCTGCCTTATTGAACATGTGGGTGCAAGTTCAAACATATGGAATGATGCTGGCTATAACAAAAGCTATGACACAGTACCATGGAGCAACGCTTGCATTTTTTATTTTGTGGTTTTTCAGACTGTGAGCTCCTTTTCTGGGCCATGAACTCATTGTGGGCAAATACTATGTCTCATTCATCTCTTTACTTTTGGTTCTCAGTGCCTGGAATACCAGCTTGAACACACGTGGATAAATGAATGAGGTCTAAAACATGCTTTCCAATAGAAAATTTTAAAAACAATTCTCCAGATTGGTCAGAGTTCTTGAAGAGGGTAACAGAAAAGAAAATTGATTTCAGAAGCCATACACAGGAGGAAACAAATGTGCACACACAAGTGACAACCTCTTTTTTTTGTACACAGGGACTGAACTTAGGACCTTGCACTTGGATTGCAAGGTAGGTGGTGGAACCACTTAGCTAAATCCCTGGCTCCACAAGTGATGACCTCCATGGGATAGGGAGCCTCCCCAGGCAGAATCCAGACCTTCAACAGCAGAATGAGGGACAGGAGATGGTAACTGACCATTCTTCCCATGCTTAATGTTACAAAAAGGCTTCATGTCTACAGTATCAGTAGAAGCAAAGACTGGAAGAAGTCATTTTTCTCTCCTTACTAATATCTGTCCACCTGTCTTGTTCTTCAGTTATTATTTCTCAACGAAGCAAAATACATAAAAGACATCTTATCTATTGTACTTACTAAAAAGAGTTTTCAAGAACAGATAGAGCAAGTAGAACATGTATTTTTTTCTCTGCAGTCAAGACAGTTTTTTTAAAACTCTGATTTTTTTTCAGCTTTAATTGAGTTTATTGGTACATTTTAGGGATACAGTACAGTTACATTTATTGTTGGGATCTTGTACCTCTACATGACAGGTCTTGGTTCTCATTTTTTCCCCTTGTCCCTGCCCACCCTTCACCCCCTACTCCCCTCCCCATCTACACTTTATTTCCATCTTTTCATTATCTCACATTTTTTTCTTTTCCCTTTTTACCCTTCCCCTACCCATCCCACCTCCCCCACACCTTTAGCTCCTTTCTTCCCATTTCTCAATGTTATGATTGATTTTTGAGTTAATAACTAATATAAAATAAATTCCCTAATGAAGTAGGGGAAACTGATGTACTCTTCAAGAAATACCTGTAATTATATAGGCGATATCTCTGAGATTAATATTTCACTAGTACAGTTATATTCTGACTCTAATTAAAAACATACAAGCCATGCTTACATCACAGTACCGGAGCCTTTGCGAAGAACCTGGATTCCAAAAGGAGTGGTCTGAATCCTGACATCGTACAGGCAGTTCTCAGGGGAGTCCACTGGTGAGGGAGGTGTATTCAAAGGCACTGGGACCTCATACCTTTTATTAGTGGAATCATAGATCTGCCAAAGAGATAGAAGGAACCTTTCTAATAAGAGTATTGACCCAAAACTTCTCATGCTAGTCTCTAAAAAATAGTTCCTATTTTTTGACTAGTTTGAAGCACATCAGGAGGCATCAGAAATCCCTAAGTAGTGTGGGGCCTGCCACTCCTCTGTGTCTGAGCCAGATCCTGGACTTCAAAACTGCCTCTGTAGTACTCATTTGAAACCAGTGAGGGACTGTCTTATAAAGAATTTGTGATTTAAGTGTGCATAATCTTGTAGGTTGAATGTGTGTTTATGGATGTGTGCTATACATATGTGCATGTAACTGAATAAGAACATATGTGTGAATATCTGTTTGTGTGTGTGTGTATGTATAGAACCATGTGAACTTTCACATGGACAGTGAGACATCTTTACTGTTTGAGCTTCCAGATGTCCAGCTTTTCTATTGCTACACCTCCTCTTTTGTACCCACAACTCATTCCAATTTCCCCACAGGATAGTCAGGAGAAAAAACAAGAAAAGTGAATATAAGAAATGGATAGGTAGCATCCCCATCACAAGTGACCATCCCCTTCTTTGTACTATTATTATTAGCCCACATTTTGTGCTCTGGTGAAGATTTTACTAGATCTCTGCTTTTCAATCTCAATTTCTCAACTCAAAAGAAATAGCATTGCCTGGGATCTTGTGAGAGATGCAAATGCCCAGCCCTTAACCCAGACATTCATTTTCGCAGGAAGGTGATTCACAATACATTCAAGAATGACAAGCAATGTTCAGAGAAGAGCTTCCCAAGCCACCAGCCCCACTTGGGTAAGCACTATACATGTGCTAGTCTAAACTGAGATTCATTGTAAGTGCAAAATACATACGAAAATCTGAAAGATAGCAAAATTAAAAATTGTGAACTATGTCCATAATTAAATTTGGATTTCAAACAAAATTTATTGTAGCACATTTGTCAAATAAAATATTACTTTTGCTTCTTTGTCTGAGAAATGTCTGTTCATTTCAGATGCCCATTTCTGAATTGTGTCTGTATTTGGGGGGGGCTTATTGTTTTGAGTTCTTTATATATTCTAGATAATATTCCTTTGTCTGAGGAGCAGCTGGTAAAAAGTTTTTCCCACATTGTAGATTTTCTCTTAGTTCTGTTGATGGTTTCTTTAGCAGTGCAGAAGCTTTTTAATAAGATGAGATCCCAGTTGTTGATTTTTTCTGCTAGTTCCCGTGCTACTGAGGATTTGTTCATAAAGTCTTTGCCTATGCCAATGTCTTCCAGAGTTCTGCCTAACTTATCTTCCAGCAAGTTTGGTGTTTCTGTTTTAATATTTAGATCTTTAATTCACTTGGATTTTAATTTAGTGCATGTAAATATACAAATAAATATATGAAAAAAATGTTCCACATCACTGGTCATTTGAGAGATGCAGATGAAAACAACACTGAGGTTCCACCTCACCCCACAAAGAATGGCTGCTATCAAGAAATCACACAATAACAAATGTTGGCGGGGTTGTGGGGAAAAAGGAACCCTTCTCCATTGTTGGTGGGAGTGCAGACTGGTGCAACCACTGTGGAAATCAATATGAGATACCTCAAAGAGCTGGAACTACAGGTTCCATTTGACCCAGCCATATCTCTGCTGGGTATCTTTCCAAAACAATTAAAAGAATTGTATCACAGTGACATATGCACACCTATGTTTATAGCAGCACAGTTTGTAATAGCTAAAACATGGAAACAGCCCATTTGCCCATCAGTTGGAAGCTGGATAAAGAATATGTGGTTTTTCTATAAAATGAAATACTACTCAGCCATAAAGAATGAGAAATTAGAGTCATTCATAGGAAAATGGATATATATTGAGGATATACTACTAAGTGAAATAAATAAGTCACACATGTGTAAATACCAAATAGTTTCTCTGGTGTGAAGAAGTATAATAGTACACAAGAACCTAATGAGATAATTAACAATGTGAAATAAGAAGAAAAGGGTTAAAAGTGTAGGGAAAGTGGGAAGGGTAGGGGAAGGGTAATAAGGGAAAAGAAAAAATATGAGAAATGAAAAAATGGAAATAAAGCGTTTGTAAATGGGGAGGGGAGGAGGGGATGAAGGGAGGGCAGGGACAGGGGAAAAAAAATGAGAATCAGGATCTGTCATGTAAAGTACAAGATCCCAGTAATGAATGTAACTGTACTGAATACCCAGAATGTACCAATAAACTCAATAAAAAGAAAAAATAAATAAAAAATAAAATATTACTGACATTAATTTCGCTTTTTTTAAAATACATTTGAAAAATACTCCTGCTACAGAACTTACATGACTCACATTGTACTGTTATTTCTAACAGAGCAGAGCAATGGATCTCAAAGCGTGGCCCCTTGATCTACTGTGTTAGTGTGGGCTGGTCATCATTGGAAATGCAAATTTTCAGGGTGGCCTAGCCCAAATCAACACAATGGTCAAAGCCCTGCAGTCTGAGTTTTAAGAAGATGCAAGTGATTCTGATGCATATGTAAGTTTGAAAGCCAATGGGTTGGGGCTGTATAGCTCAATGACAGAGCATTTGCCTAGCATGCAGAAGACCAGGATTCAACACCCATAACAGAAGGGGTAAAACAGTTTTGAAATCTACTATTAGAGAATAGCTAGAAATGTTGGAAGTCATCCAATGCTTTTCCTATGTGTTTACCACATAGGCTGATTTTTAAAAGAGTATTCACAGTTATAGAAAATTCACAGTCCTGATGGATCTAAAATCACATCCACTAACTTTCTGACCTTTACTTCCTCTAGGCCTCAGCTTCTGCAGGTGTAAATGAGGGATTTGAACTAAAGGTCTTTCACTGACTTCCATCTGTACAGAGTTGGAGCAGTGAGGTAGAAGCTCCATTCTGAGAATCAGACCCCACAGTATGGGAATTACCTTGACCTGCAGCATGTTCTCTGTGTGGTAGACCACACTCAGTTTGAGGGAATTGATCTCTCCAGAGAGAGAATTAGAAACAACAGAGGCTGCTGCCGGTGACAGTGGAGCTGCTGCTGCTCGTGCAGATGCCAGGGTCTCTAGGAAGACCAGGTCAGTGGTGATGCCCATGGGCAGGTACTGGATGTTACTGGCAGCATAGCGAGGAATGGTGTCATAGAAACAGGTGGGCACACCAGGAGTAGTCGTGTGCTGAAACAACAGGAGAAATCTTTGGTTAGCTCAGAAACCAGTGAGACTCTAATTACTGAAGAAGCTGGTTAACACAGACTTAATCTTAAAAAGCTTTTCACTGTTGTGAGTTGCACTGTGTTCCCCTCTCAAAGTCTTAAGCCTTAATATGTAAATGTGACTGGTTGGACATAGGATCATAATAAATGATTGTGTTAGGATGACGTTTTTATGATGGGCTCTAATGCAATATGACTGGTAACCTTCATAGGAGAAGAAATTTGAACATAAGGGTAATCACACACAGAAGGACACCATGTGATCATAAAGGTGGAGATCAGAGTGATGCAGGTACAAGCTAGCATATACCAAACATTGCCAGCACACCTCCAGAAGTTGGGTGTAAACAACGGGAAAGAATCTTGCTCACAGTCCTCAAATGGAAACTTGATCTTAAACTTCTAGATTTCAGAAGTGTAAAGAAAAATTTTTATTGTTCTAAGCCTTTCAGTTTGTGGGTACTTTGTTACAACATCCCTAGAAATCACACACACACACACACACACACACACACACACACACAGAGACCACACACCTGTAATGAGTGAACAGTGACAGAGCAGCAGGCATTCTAACCTGGATCCTGAGACCTTCCCTCAGGAGGGTCCTGCTCTCATAGTCCTTATTGCACCTGATCCAGTCTTAAGAGAATCACTACATTTTCCTGGCTTTCATTCTCTATATTTCTCAAAAGGAGAGGGCCAGCCTTAAGACCACACACGTAATGAGTGAACAGTGACAGAGCAGCAGGCATTCTAACCTGGATCCTGAGACCTTCCCTCAGGAGGGTCCTGCTCTCATAGTCCTTATTGCACCTGATCCAGTCTTAAGAGAATCACTACATTTTCCTGGCTTTCATTCTCTATATTTCTCAAAAGGAGAGGGCCAGCCTTATCTCACCTCTCCTGTTTGGGCTCTCCAATAGATAGATGAAAAACAAATTCACTTAAAATACCCGAAACAGTGCATACCAAATGTGTGCTATTATGTCTAGTAGGATTTGGAATGATGTGGCTGGAGAGACATGAATTTCTTCTGACTCAGACTACCTGACAGAAATAATGATTACCCATTCTGCAGAGTTGACAAGATGCATATTAGCAAACTGTTGTGATACACTTCAAGCCATCAACATTTCAGAAGTGTTTCCTAGTTTCCTAGGTACTTATGAGGCAATTTTAATAACTCAGTCTGGTTCCTGTTCCTAATCATTACCTCCCAAAGGCACCCCCGCTGCCTACAGCTCTCCTCAGAAGCAAAAGGATCCTCTGGGTAGCAGTTAAACTTCTCTAGATCGCTGACTGGGAGATTCCATTCAATTGAGAATTCTTGTCCCATGACCAGTCCCTTGAGATCAGTGATGGTCACCACCTAGGGAAAGAGAAAGGAGATGCTTGTGACAAATTAGCTAAGTAAGAGTAAAGCGCTCACCTGATGATCTGGATCCCAAAAATTTAGGACCTATTTCTTGCTCCAATACCACTGTGAAATATTTGGAACTAACCTGTTCCTTATCTTTTTACTTCATGGAGTCATTGTGGATGTAAGGAATGAGAAGTGCTTGCACCATGGTAAGGAGTGCAGATCATAGATGCAACTGTCATTTTTAGACTTGTTCTTGTGGTGTGATGCTTATTCATTTGAATAGTGATGGTAATAATAGGAAGAGACAAACCTTATGAGCATTAATATGAGCCAAATACTGTGATAAGCAGTCTATAAGCATTGTCTCCAGCAATCCTGTAAAGTGACCACATTCTGTGAATATTACAGCTGACTCCATCTTACAATCAGAAAACTGAGGTCCAGAAAGATTTAATACCTCATCCAAGATATCACAGCTGAAGATAGTACAGCTAGGTCTAAAACCTTATTCTGCCTAATCCTAGAAACCAAGCCCTTATCCTGCACTATATTTATTTTCAAAATGGAAGATCACAGGCCTAAAATATAATAACCTTCCCAGCATATGAAGAGTCAACTAACCATCATAATCTTTTGTCAAAATAACTCAGTAAAACCAAAACAAGATCATCCCTTGTGTTTTCTCTCACTATCATTTTCTGTAATGGTATAAAAATAGTTTGAATACTAAGAAAAAATATCAACTGTGTCTCAGAGTCTTTAACTTCAATGTAGGAATAGGTGTGTATGCTATGGCTTAGACTAAAAATGTTCCCCAAGTATCACTTATAGAGAGGTGGGGCTGTGTGATGGTGATTTTTATTGTGGGGATGCTAACAGTCATCAATAGATTGCTTCATCAACGAGTTCATACCTGCATGTATTGTTAGTAGGGGCCTGGCTGAGGGGCCATTGAACCATGACTTTGGAGGGTATATCTCTTGCTCTGACTCTTGCTTTCTCACCGTGGACTGCCATGAGTTCAGGAGTTTCCCTCTTCCAGGCCCTTCCACCATGCCACTTCTGCCTTAGCTTTCTAACCATGGACTGACCCCTCTGAAACCATTAGCCAAAGAAACATCTTCTTCTCTAAGTTGTAATGTCAAATATTTTGTTCCAGTAACAGAATGGTTGACAGAAACAGTGTAAATACTCTCCAGAGGTAGGCCAATACATGGACCAGTGTTTTCTCTATGTTACTTGTGAGATCATCCTGTGTATTTTTAAAATGGCACTGTCTCTTCTTTTAAAGTCCTAACTCTATCTTCTTTAGAGCCCTAACACACACAAGTGGAAGGGACTGTATTTGCATACGCAGGTTGCCCTGCTACCTTCCTGTGATATGGTGGCTCTCCTAACAAGCTAGTTATCCCTGTGTCTGCCTAAAGTCAAAAGAACAAGGAAGGTATCCTGTTAAAATCTCAAGCCACAGCTTTCTGCAAGGGCCCTACATAATGAAAGAATCCCTCACCTGTATTGAAGTATCATAGACAGCGCTTGAAATGGGGGTGGGAACATTGTTAGAAAAAACAGCAAAGTTAGTTGGCTCCTTGTCCATTCCAAAGATTCTGATATTTGTAAACATGAGGTTGTTGGGGTCCATGTAATTATTATTTTTAATCTTTGCTTGTAGACGGTTCTAAAAAATAAAGAAGGAAATCAGTTTAGAGATCAGGCACATCACATACGATATCACATACAATGTCTTTCTTTCGGAGATCTGAAGGTTTTTCTTTTTCTCTGTGGTTCTAAATGTTGCCAGGTGGTTGTCAGGGAAAACAGGCCCTTGACTCAGGCTCTTAACATCCTAAAGCTTTTAGTAATGTTACATGTTTACCTTGGTTCACTGGTTCTTTACTGTATTCTATTGCTCAGATAATATGACACTGACATTATAGGAGTTTCAAATGGATATAAAAGGTATTTAGAAAGCAAACAGAAGTACACTCAGTGACCCACCAACACACAAAGATAAAGACAGACAATGCACAAGGTGTCATCGCAAAATACAATGAATGTTTACATTTTTAAAAATAATTCAAGGGCCAGGGATGTGGCTCCATGGTGCCATGCCTGCTTGGCAACCATAAGGTCCTGAGTTCAATCACTGGTACTGGAAAAAAAGGGGGGAATGCTAAAAATAATTCAAAATGACACATTGCCACTAATTCCCCTCAAATATTTCTCATTTTAAACACATTTGTCCCATTTTTCTAGCCATTTTCTGAAGCAGTTCTGGGAATTCTCTTTCATGTGTGTCATTAATTGTGCTATCATGGCTGCCTTGATGCCCTGAATCAGTTTCAGAATATTTCAAGGTCATTTTGGGGAAGACTCATACAGTGGCAGTTCCAATGAATAAGGTGTATGAGGACAAACTGTAGCTTTTATTTGACATAAGTTGCTGTATATGTTTTGAATCAATTCAGGATATAGAGGTAGCTATAAAGACTCTCAGGAAACAAGACTTCCAGAACTGCTTCAGAAAGTGGCAAAATGATAAAATGTGTGTTCAAAGCAAAGGGGAGTTATTTTGAGGGAGATTAATGGCAATGTGTCTTTTACTGTATTAATTTTTAAAATTTTTAAACATTCACCATGTTTTGATCACACCTCAGACACAAAGTCCTCAAATAACTTTTATTTTGTTAGTAAAGGTAAAAGCTAAAATTTACATATGCCCACCGTGTTTCAGGCATTGTGCTAAGTATTTTCCAGGTATTATCTCATTCAAATCTCCCAGCAGATTGTGAGGTTAAAACATAATTATCCCCACTTTTCAGATGAAGATTCTGTTAAAATTATTTAAGGAACCAGAGTTAAAAAGGGATAAAGCTGAGCTAGGCAAAGATGAAGGTAGAAGTGAACTAGGGAAAAAGGAACTCTTCAGCGAGTAGAAAGGCTAGCACTTCCACCCAAATATGCCCCCCAAAATACTTGGCAGAGGGGCCAAAGTAATACAATGAAGAAAGAAGAGTCACTTCAACAAAGGGATAGAGCAAGGGCTGTGTATAAGTAAAAAATGGAGCTTCAACATAAATCTCACACCTTAGATATAAATCAACTCAAAATAATCACAGAATTAAATGGAAAAGGGGGACTGAGACATTTTTAGAAAAAACAGAAAATATTAAGGCTCTAGAGCCAAGAGTTCTTAGATATAACAAGAAGCATGATCCATAAAATATAATAATGATAAATTATACCCATTAAGATTTATTAATATTGAAAGACATTGTCAAGAGAATGAAAATAGAAGCCTAGAGATGGAAAAAAATTTGCAAACCACATATTCAACAGAATACTAGTATTGAAAATGTACAAGAACTTTCAAAACTAAACGGTTAAGAAAAAATTAAGCCAAATAATCCAACTAGAAAATGGTGAAATAGTTGAACAGATAAAACAAATGCAAATGGTAAATATCCCATGCAAAGTTTTCCAGCATCATGAGACACTGAAGAAACATAAACTAATGCTACAGTGAGATATCATCGCACACTTATCAGAATGGGTATGATGGAAAGAAGCGACAACATCTAATGCTGGAGATGGAGCAGAGAAACTAGATCACCCACATTTTCCAAATGGAAACGTGAGTACAGCCATTCTGGCCAATAATTTTCAAGTTTCTAATAAAACTAAGCATGCACTAATGTAAGACCAGCAACTAGACACCTGGGTGCTTATACCACAGAAGTGAAAACTTATATTCATACCAAAATCTGTACCTGAGTTGTTCATAACATTTTAATTTTAATTAGAAAAGTCCATGACTAGAAAAAGCCCAAAATCCCTCGATCAAATGAATGCTGAACAAAAGGTGATATACATATACCTTGAAATGCTTTTTAAAAATAAAAAGAATTAAAATACAACAACTTTGTAGAATTCGGAGGGAATTACACTGAATAAAAAGTCACATGATTCCATTTATATAAGCATTCTTAGAAGGATAGAATTAAGGAGGAGGAGAACAGTTTAGTGGTTGCCAGGAGCTTAGGAAAAGACTGAGACAGGAGGCAAGCTGGTACAAGTACAATAGGAAGGGTCTCTGTGGTGATAGAGATGTTCTACATCTTCATAAATCTGTTGCAATATCCTGGCTGTGAAATTGTACTTCATTCCTATAAGTTGTTATCATTAGGAGAATCTGTATAAAGCACATGTGGGAACTCGTTATTTGTTACAGCAGTACAGAGATCATTAATTACTTCCAAAATAGAAGTTTAGAGAAATAATTTATCAGAAAAAAATAGAAATAAGGGATAACAATCTGCAAAATATATTCTGCCCATACATAACCAGATTTCTAAGAAAAGCAAATTAGAATTCTCCCATTTTCTGCTAGTCCTGAACCCTTGTGCTATTCTTGGTCCCTTGGGAAACAGAAATGAAGTAAATGATCCTCTGTATCTTCCAATTTTTCAAAGCTACCATGTGATTCCTGTGCCCAAAGACAAGTTCTAGGGACTAGAAGGGGGAAATGAACCTCATAGGGATACTTCATGGCCCCACCAGCATTTGATGTTATTTGATTTATTAATGACTGCCATTCTTTCTGGAGTGAGATGGAATCATAGTGTTGTTTTAATTTGTATTACTCTTGTTGGTGGAAATGTAAACTTGTACAACAACTGTGGATTCAGTATAGAGATTCCTCAACAAATGAAAAATAGAGATTCTACTGAACCCAGCTATTCCCCTTCTAGATATCTTCCCAGAAGAGTTAAAGAAATCATATTACAATGATATATGCATATCCATGTTTATAGCAGCAAAATTTATAATAGCTAAATCATGGAAGCAGCATGTATGTCCATAAACAGATGAATGGATAAAGAAAGTGTAATATATAATGAAATACTACTCAGCTGTAAATATTTATACACAATGGGGTTCTACTCTGCCACAAAGAAGGATAGATTTGTAGGAAAGTAGATGCACCTTGAAACCATAATGCCAAGAGAAATAAATCAGACATACAAGCTTAAACATCATGTCGCTTCTCTTATATGAGAAGTCCAAAGTATAAATAAATAAAAAGAGAAAATAAAAGCTAGATGAAAGAAAACAGGGAGATAGATGTTTTGCAAATGGGAAAGGGACCAAGAGATGGATGAGAGAGATAGAGGACATAAAAAGAATTAAGTTGTGTCATATACATGTACTACCTATCCACAATTAATATAATCTTTATGTTCACAAACATGTGTACTAATAGAAAAAGAGAAAAGATACTTCACTCCTCACCCACACTCACACCCCATACTTGCACTCCTCAATGACATATTATGAAAGTCAAAAGTCATGAGATAAAGTTTAAAGGCAGTGACTTTTTTCCCGGGAACAAAAAACAATTTCAGCATAGAACTCATACATCTGATAACTTATTAAACACTTTCATGTTAACTAGAATCCTCTCTGGGACCATCAAAATCAAGCACGGTTCCTATTTCATATGAACACACATCTATACAAAAACAAAAACATAAAAGGCAATCACAATAAAGAATGTAAGATGTATGTTCCTTGAAAGCAGTACTTACAGAAGAAACAGAGAAATCATACAGAATATACTTCTTTTCAGCCACAGCATCTGAAAGAGAAAGATGTGTGCATCCATTATTACAGTAAGCTGAGGATCTAGAGAGTCATCCTTTTCCTCCAGATCACTTTTGCATCTAATTCTGCTCATCCGAGACCTGCCCTTTTCATTACCTGACAAAATTTTCAGGGAGTACTTTCTGTAAACACTTGGGCCTCTTTGAATTACCATTTTTCTGGCATTTTAAACATTTTGTCTTGCACTCTAGCTATCTACAGGCAGATTATATCTTCTGTAGTAGACCATTGATGGGTTCCTCAAAAGCACCATTTATGCCACTTTCAACTTTATATCCCTTGTACAAATGTAATCATAAACACCAAATAAATATTAATAAATTCTAATTCCTTTTCATTTTTATTTATTTTATTAATACATGTTCACAGTACATGTTTACATTCCTTGTGTGAAGTTGAAACATATTCATAACACATCTTAATTTTTTTCATCTCATTTCCCTCTTCTCCCTCCCCTCCACCTCTTGATCCCCTTACCATTTGAGAAAGACCTATGTCTCTTTACTTTCTATTATTTATCTTTTATTTTGCTCATCATCTAATTCTGTCCAGAGCAGGATTTTTATATAATGACAAACCATAAGCTTATATAATGCTTTCATATGAAATCACTACAGTGAAAAAAAAAAACACACACTACACAAACTCTACTTTCAAATTGTCTCTGAAATGGTACTTTTACAAAGCTATTTACAAAATGCATTGCTTTGTCTTAATAATGATATTCAGAGGAGAGAATAAGTAAGCCAAATGCAGCAATGGCTGTTGGATTTGGTAGTGTTGGTATCATATAAGCTTCACATTTGAGGTCTATTTTAATGCATTGCACTTAAGAAACTTTCAGAATAACCTTTGACTTGCCAATTTTAAGTTACAGAAATAAATGATGTGTTAACAGTGATAGCGCCTCACTGGCAGCCATGGCCCCTTGAGAAAGTGTACCTTTAGCCACACCATCATCCCAGTACAGCTCTCCCTTTGCTTCTCTCTTATAGTCCAAGGCAACAATGAGTCCCAGAGAATTTTTCCGGCTGAGAAGAGAAATTCCCAGTTTCAGAGAATGAAGGAACACACAGAAGCATGTGAAATCATCCCTCTTGATATCCCATGGACTGATCCTCCCAGAATCTCCCTCAGAGACTGAATAGGTGGCAATGCTGTGTGGAAACACGAGAGTTGTGTATAGACAGATAGCAGAGTTTAGTAGAGAGGTAGTTCCTGATGAAATCTGGGTATGATTATTGTAATGAATATTTTTGGGTGCTTACTATGTACTAAATACTCCTCTAAGTATCCTACATACTACATACATACATATAGGTTATTATTTATATTCATTCATTTATCCCTCATAATAATGCTTAAAAATCAGATTAGCATCCTCCCTAGTTTACTAATACTAGGCAAAAAGCATAGCAAAGTAAGTTAATCTGTCTGGTATACTGTAAACCTGGAGTTTAAACTCCAGTTGTGTCCAGAAGCTGAGCTCTTAAACTCCAAACTACATTGGTTTTCACATATAATTGCTGTCTCTCATTTAATTTGCATTCTCTCGTGTATTAAGGAATATACCTAAGAATTTCTAGCCGCAGAAATTTTCATGGATGATTACTCTATCCTATAATCTAATTTAATTCAAATGTGAAGAACGATGGAAATGTAAAGGAACTGCTGCTGCCTTTATCTCTGCTTGAAGATGACTCAGCTATCAACTCTTAACCAATTCTGAAAGGAGAGGAAGATTGCTGAGTGGAGGTTTTCCCCTTAGCCCATTTAGTTTTGGTCTTACTTGCCTCCCCCACCATCCCCTGCACAGTAGAGCACCAGAGTTAAAACAAACAGGAGCTTACCTGGTCTCTGTTGTTGTGTTTGGCTGCTGGGTAGGGAATATGTAGCCCCCTCGAAGGTGGAGCCCTATCCTGTCATCAGGGAGCAGCATATCCACAAACTGTTTCCTCCACTGGACAGCCACTCCCTAATCAGCAAAAGGGAGAAAGAGCAGATAAGTGACGGTGTGGGCTTGGAAGTCCCTAGAAATCATCTAGTTTAGCTGCCTCATCTTAAAGAACAGGAGACTGAAGATCCCCAAGTGAAGTGACTTCTTCAAGGCACATAGGTGGTAGAGGGCAGAGCTGAAACTCCAACCACTCTCTTTCTTTACTTTAAACCACCCTCTGTGATACTGTTTGGATCTTCAGTGCCCCCTGAAGGCCCATGTGCTAATGGTTTGGTCTCTAGCTTCATGCTTTTGGGAGGTGGTAGAAACCTGAAGAGGTGGGGACTAATGGGAAATTTTAGGTCATTGGGAGTAAGCCCGCCATGGGGACTGTGGGACTACCAGCTCTCCTTTCTCTTTTCTCCCCACTGCTCCTCAGCAATGAGGTGAATGTTTTTACTCCACCATACTCTCCTGCCATGATGTACTTCATTAGGCCCAAAGCAATGAGGCCACTCCATTAAGGACTGGAACCTCCCAAACTGTGATGCCAAATAAACCTTTTCTCTTTATAAGTTGATCATCAAAGATGCTTGCTATAGTAACAGAAATCTAACACACTATTTCCACAACTGACCTTGAATTCTCTGTTATCATAAAGGCCAACAACTAGTGATAATAGCTAAACACTAACCAGGTAGATATAGCAAATTTTCACAAACATATTCCAGATATTTGGTCATTTCATTGTATATTTGGAAAGGTCTTCTACTACAGCCTAAATGTTGATGCCTCCTTAAAATTCATTGGTTGGAACCTAATGCCCAGCTGTGATGAAACTACCAGATAGGGTTTGGATAATTGATTAAATCATGAAAGCTCAGCAAGAAGCTGCCATTGATTAAGCAGAGTGAGCCTTTACCACACCCTGAATTTTCCAGTGCCTAGACCTTAGACTTTCCAACTTCCAGAACTATTCACAGTAAACTTCTGTGGTTTACTGATTACCTAGTGTAAGTTATTTTGTTATACTCTTCCAATGTATTAAGACAGCTCACAGCAAAGTACCCACAATTAACTAAATATGAAATTGTGTAGTATTATCCTATCCCAGGTTCCCAACGCTGGTTTATAATTGCCCTCTGCTAGAAACAGAGCTCTGAGAGAGCTGGGGCCACCTCACTTACTGTCTCATAGTCATACCAGATGGCATCAGGTATGTATGCTTTCACGTGGTCCACACCCTGAGGAGACAAAAGCAATATGTATATATTAGCATTCCCCTTTTCAGTGTATAGAATACCTTCACCATATATGGTCCTCTGAACAATTCCAAGACAGAGCTGGAGTTATCCAATTCTACTCATGGAAATACAGAAATTTAGAGAGGTTGAGAAGTTTTTCAAAGCAAATCTGTCCCTAGATATTAAATTTGTTTTGCTTTAATGCTCCTAAATATTCTAGGAGAAATGCAGGGATTTCATATACTGGATCATGCAAGCTGACAATTGGAAGACTGAGCCACGTAGACCTCAGAGAGTTTTCCAGCAGGACTACATCTTGGTTAGCAGGACCTGTCCTCAGATAGCTTACCAAAAACACCAGCTCAAAGGACCTTAACATGAATACACTGGCAATATTTCATGCTGAGAAGCTGACATAATCCTGATCCTTCTTCCATACTTCCCATCTCTTTGCTACCACAAATCACTCTTAAATTGGATACATGTGGTCCTTTACAGATGGACTTCACCCTCCTTCCCTGCTCTTCTTCATACCTAACCTCTTTCCAACACAACCCTCAGAGCACAATCCATGTGGACAAGTAAACATAGACAGAAGGTCAGCACACAAACAGCAAAGCACTTAAAGGCCATATTAATGCCATCGCCATGTGCCTAAGAACTCAGGATTCGAGGCAATTTTACAGCATGGAAATTGTTTTATTTTCTGGAACATCGGGACCAAGAATTATTATTGTTCTAATTTCTAAACTTTCATGATCTCTCATTTATATTCATTTGTAGATTTAAATGTAATCATAGATACTCAGAATCTAACTTATTCAACTATAAAGGCATGAGGAAAGTACAATACACCATTCTATTATTTAGATTACAAACATACTTCATATAAAACAGGTGTGATGAGGAGTCCGGGCCCCCATAAGAACTGCTCATGCACCTCCCATGTCATTGGGTCCTGGTAGAACCTTGAAAACAGACAGCAGTATGAGGAATGTAATATTTCTAATAAAAGACAACAACACACTGTGTGTCCTAGCTGACCTTGTTACCACTAACAAGATAGAGTGAAACTGCATTCTGAAGGTGATCAGGAAACTCACTCATGTACCAAGGGCCTTGCTACCGTCTCCCCCAGGGTGTGAGCACGGTAGAAGAGGGTGTAGAGATAGGGAAGAAGTGTGTAGCGAATATTCAGATAATGTCTGGAGGAGTTCAACAGCAGAGAGTCAAAACCAAAGGCAGCCGGGTCCTGGTCCTAGAAGTAAATGAAAGCAATTATTATTTCTTGTTTATCATAGTTTAAAAGTACTCTGATGATAAGAAATTTTCCAAAGGAAATAGCCATATTCTCTAACCTCAAGAACATCAATAGCATTTCTACAACTGAAAGGATCTTACTTTTTTCATTTTACAGCTGAGAAACCAAATAAAAGCTTGCATGACTTTCCCCATGTAGAATCACACGTAGGTGGCAGAGTTTTCACTTAACACATATCTACTGAGGACAGACTACATCAGCCCTAGGATGACAAAGAAGTCCCCCAGGGGCTGGCATGTACATAAAGGGGCCATAGTGGACCCTGTACCTTCCAGAACCACCCCAATTTATTTAATCTCTATTTTCATAATGTTTCACTTGGAAGATACTAATAAGTTCCATTAAACTTAGCTGTACTGCTAAAAATGTTTCATATCCATTTTCATAACCCACCATTGCCTACTACCATGATTCATATTTTCCTTTCTATGCAGTTTAGTGAACTTGCAATTTTAAAAATTTACATCATGTTGAAACTAGACATTTTCTTCTGTAATATTTTCAGTATCACAATTTATTTTCTTTATCCCAAAGATAGTGACCTCTATTCTTCTGCAATATAAAATATATAAAGTAATTGTAACAGGTTTTATGAGATTTTATCTAAATCCTTTAGAAGAGAAATGTAATTTTCTTACAACTAGGAGACAGAAATTTTCTATCCATGGTTTGCCCTCATTTTGCTTATTTTCTTTGTTATTTGGAAAACATCAAAGACACACGTGCCATAGTTAGACTATATTATTGGCACTAAATTTTGAAGAAAATTGTCTGAATTTATTCCTTTATTTTGGTCCCTAAATACCTATCCTCTCACTAAATAGGTTTATTCTATGTCCCAAATTCAGGGATTATATTTCTGAGGTGAAACAGAAGAAAACAATATCCCCCAGCATCTGTCACTGTAGTTCTCCACTGAAAAAGTCTATAGCTGCCCTGTCCACTGTGGTGGTCACAGTCTATGTAGCTATTACTGGATACTTGAAAAGTGTTAGTAAGACTGAGGGACTAAACTTCTAACTTTATTGGTTTGTGATTAATTTATATATATTATGACTGAATTGATGTAAAATATTAGTCCCATCAAATGTCATTATTTTGATAGCATTACATTTCTTTAACTCCTGTAAATTCAAAATTTAGAGATGTGCTGAAATTGTAAAGTTCATACTGATTTTTTGAAGACTTCATAGAAAGAATGAAAAATAAAATAGCTCATTAATAGTCCATGTTTATACAGGATGAAATTATAATATTATGGATAAACTAAGTTACACAAACTATATTTAAAAGTACTGTATTTCATTTTATTTTCTAAATTTAAATTTGAACTGACATATGTGGTTCTTGTTATAATTCTTTCAGAAAGAGCTAGTTTGGAAGAAAAAAAACTAGAACTTTTTAACCTTGCCACCTACACAAGCTGAATGTTTTTTCCATGCAAGTCTTTAAGCCATCTCTCCATGAAAAACACTGTTTACCTGCTCCCAGTAACCTGCTCAGACATTCAGAAATAGTTCATCTCTCTTTTTCTCTCTAAACCATAAGTGAGTGGAAAAGCCCAAAGATAAAACACGCAGATGGTGTTACTGTTAATCATTCCAGGTTTGAGAATTGTCATATTCAAAGCCAACAGCTAGAACTAAAATTATCAGGAAGTTACTCTAAAAACCTACTAAAAGTTAAATCATTTGATCTGAAATATCTCAGTGGCAGATTATTTCATTTAAAGAAAGGAAATCCACCTTATTTGTTCCTGCCATTATCATAAATACCTCCTTAAGAGGAACTTTGCACCACTTCTATATACTTGCTTATAAAAACTTTTATTCTGGATGGAAGAGGATAAAAGTGAGGTGGATCATGGAAAAGTAGTGTGTCTGTGTTCGGGGTATCTCAAAAACATTCATAAAGAGTGGTCTGTCACAACAAAGTGAAAACTGTTCAGATCACTGGCCTGTCTCTTCATAAATTCTTCCTCATGCCCACTATTTATGGTAGTCTCCTTTGCATTAATTGAAGTAAAATAAAATCTTCTATAAGATGATAATGGGAGTAACAGAAGCACCACAGGAACTTTAACAAACCTTGATATTTGCTTTTTAGGCTTACCACCCAATATGTATTTATCCTTCTTCTGTAGTTAGAACCAATCTGTAGGATTTTCCTCAACTTCTTTTTGCAAACAAGTAGATTATACAATCCAAAAAGTTTTCATCACTTCTCTTGGGGAACTTACATGGAAACCAGGCCCATTGTGATTCCTTGATAGTGGGTAAAATGCTCCTAGCTGCATCCACCTTCTACAGAGCTCCTCTGTGACATGTCTTGTGTAACCACAGATATTAGCACCTACCTAGAGAATTAGCACACGTTAAGCACAGTAGTCACTAAGAGAACTGAAAGCATTGATTGTGTATTTATATGATAAAAGAGAATCTCTATTGTCATCACTCAATGCTTACAGAAATCCCAGAATCCCAGGACAAGCCTCCCACCACATAAGAGAAGTAAGTACACATCATAGAATAGACTTAGATGAAGATTAACTAGTGGTGTCAGCAATTGTTATCAATAATGGTTGTAGACAAATGAATATAGAGGGCTGTTCCTCACTGTTCAATTCCCAATTTCATACTTCCCTATTCAGTGATGCTCTCTGGATAGGGTTTTTCTGTTGATACTAATATATTTTACTAATGGTGTCTCTTTCCTCTCTCCAGAGATTCCATGGATGAAACTTGGAAAGCCGGCCATCCATATGCAGAAAATTGAATCTAGATCCATATCTCTCACCATGTACTAAACTAAAATCAAAATGCATCAAAGATCTAAATGTTAAAAGAAAAACAATCTTCTGGAAGAGAAAATAGGTAAAACTCTTGAAGACATGGGCATAGGCAAGAACTTTTTAAATAAATCCAGTTGCACAAGAAATAACACCAAGAATCAACCAAGGGGATCATATTAAATTAAAAAGCTTCTTCCCAGCAAAGAAATCAACCGACAAAGTGAAAAGACAGCCTACAGAATGGGAAAAAGTTTTGCCAGCTATTCTTTGGTCAGAAGAATAATGTCTATATATTTTTTTCTCAAAATATCAGACCCCCCCATGATAAAGATTTATCATTCTATTTTCAAAAGGCAGCTCAATCAGAGAAATTTATTTTTCTAATATCACAAAGGGACATATCCCCCTTAGTTTTCAAATACCCTCAAAGACTGGTAATGTGAAGAGCATCAAAAGACAATGGGTGGAGTTCTTTGGTTGGGAATGAGGCTCACCATGGGAATACCAAACAGGTTGAACTCAAGAATACTGGGGATTGACCACCGGAGGTCATCCCACATGGCTGCGTTGTCTCCCAGCCAGTGAGCAGCAAATTTGCCAGATCCAGCAAAAGTTGAACGAGATAAGATGAAATTCCTAGTACTGGGGGAGATGGTATCCATAGCCCTGAAAAGAAATACAGCCAAGTGAGTATGACCTCAATTAATGAGTGTGAACATCTAGAACTCACTTTATACCAAGGGCAGAAATGGGCTTTCCAACCAAACCGAAAAAAAATCTTCGTGGTGTGAAATGCCAGGTGTGCAAACTAATTAGCATTTTAATAGTTTCTTTCCTACATCTAGGTAAGGATTCAGATTTCATATAAGACAATATAGACCTCTATATTCCAGACACCTCAAATTTTTTTCTAGGCTACTATACTCTTAATTATGTTTTCTCCATCTTGTTAGATGGAGTTGTTGTCTTACCCTTTTAGTGGACAATAGATTGACCCCATATGTTGGGTTTTTGCCTCATTTTCTACCACAAAACAAGGTTTTTCTACCTTCCCATGGTTCTATGTCTTGCTGCTTATGCATAATCCTTACTGGAACAACAGCAGGTCATGGTGAAACTGTGTCCTCACTTTCACTTGGTACAGGCTGGCAGACAGGCCACCCTTATTATCACTAGCTGGAGATTTATTGCCCTCTGCAATCATTATTCACAGAAGAAACACAGTCCAATATATAGAGAATGAAACTGAAACACAGATAAATATATCTGCAGGTGCACTTTAGAGGAGGCCACTATGCCAATATAGATTAGATAACATTCAGGTTTTCCCAGCTTTGAGATCTTTTAAGTTTCTCTTTTCCATTTCCCAGCAAAGTCTTCCTCAGCCCTATAACTTTAGCTCATTCAGTGACCAGAATATAGAATGAGGCTCTTGTCTCCTTTTAAATCCAACTCTGTTTCCATGCCCAAAGACCAAGTTGGATTTAAAAGGAGACAAGAGTCTCATTCTCCTTTACCACTGAGTAAAATAGTGGAATTTAAACTTTCATACATTCATTACACTCAGAGATCTTATTGAAGTGCAGACTGTGATTCTCAATGTCTACGCTGAGATCTGTGATACTACATTTTTAAAACCTTTCCAGTGACACTCAACTGTAGTCCTAGGACCATACTTCTACTATCGTTCTAGGGACATACTTCTGTTTCTAGAAAGAAAAGATGATAAATTGATTGGAAATTAAAGCCAAGGGAGACTACTCATGGGCCAAGCATCACAGATTATGTGGGAGACAATAATGACCTTAGTTAAGAAATGACCATGGGAAAAAGATGAAAGATGGCTATAGTGATGTTTTGAAAGTGGAGGCCTAATTTTATGTAGGAACATAATATAGAGAAAGGGTGATCCAAAGTTTCTAACTTAGGGGTTAGAAAGTGTTGCTACCAAACAAGGTAGGAAATTGAAGTTTCAAAAACAATAAACCAGAGTGAAGAGCTTAGCTGAAAAAAAAAGGCAACAGAGCCAAGAAAATGTTATGTGAGCTACCATAAGGCAGCCAAACAAAGAAGGCAGTTTTGTATATTTGTGCATGGAAATGAATGAATTATAGATGTTGATATCATTCAAATAAATTACAATAAAAACCACGGAAAGGAATAAATTATTTATGTGTGGCATAGAATGAAAAGATAAGAAGCCTGAGGATTGGCCCCAAAATTTCCTCAGTGAAAGAATAGATAAGAATAATCCAGATGCAGAGGGACATAGAAATGAGAAGGAATGGGATGAAAGAGAGCAAGATGCCAGGTAGAGTTCACAAGACTCCAGGAGCCAAGGTTCGAAGGAGTAGTCATGACTATGTACCACAGAGATAGAAAATTCAAGTAAGTGTGATCCCACTCACACTTTTAAAGACTGAGATGCTCCCTGTGAGTACATCACAGTCCACTGGCCCTCCATGGAGTTCTGGAATCACTAGACATGCAACGAAGACTAAGATTTCAGTTCTTTCCTAAAGCACTGGAAATAGCCCTTCAAACACTTTAGTTTCCTCTTCTTTGTTGAAAATCTAAAATTAAAACCATCTTAACCTTAAATCAAATTTCTTGCTTCATATATATAAAGATAATATTTTACATTTTCCAAAGAAATAACTGAGTGAAAGAAGGGACTATTTCTCACTTTATAAAATCATCAGTAATAAATCCATGTGACACTGTGTAGAAAGGATAGAATAATTTGCATTACACATCAGTCTTCTTGTTGGACTTTTATAATGGATGATGGTGATTTATTATTTGTTGTTAAAGTCAAGCAACGTTAGTGTAATAACCATAGCACATTCAGTAATCAAAGCTGGTAAGGTCTGACTTCCAGTTTGGGCCTAAATGCCTCACACAGTATTGCCTGGGGGTATCCTTGAAATAAAAATGCTCTTTAACCATAAGCCAATTAAAATTAATCCTATACAGAAACCAAAGTTTTATAGAAGAGAGTCTCTTAAATACCCTATTATTTTAGTTTCTATATCCTGATAACTAAAAATAATATTTGAATAATATGCTTATGAAAGAGAAGAAAAACCCTCCACTTTGCACCTCCCCCTTTCAAATCTGGAATTGGGAGAGGGTCAAGCCCTTACACATCTGTAGCTCTTGCCATGGAGTAGCCATACAAGCTGTGGACATCATAGTGAAGGCCCCAGTGAAACTCTGTGTCCATGCAGAGGGTTCTGGCAAACAGTAAGCCATCCAGAATTTCTAGGAGGAAAATTCACCAGTGAGGTACTTCATCCACCAACTTTAGCAAAATCACCACCCAGTTCTTTGCTTCTTAATTACTGTATGTCCCCACCCAATCTCCACTCCACAAAATCTATTCTAGATTTTCAATTCTATCCTATGCACCACTGGCTACCTGAGGCCTACCCTGAACTCCTCCATGCAATTTTTAAATTAATTTAGATTCCCTTGAACTCATGGGTAAGTGAAAGCAAGTGAAATACCTGTTGAGCTATGGGTCTGAGATTAAATATAAAGCATATATTATTTAATCTCTAGGTATTTAATCAAGAATTACCATACACTTACAGATAGGAGGGCAGTGAAAGAGAAAAGTTTCAATTTTATATTATAGATCCCACTCACACTTTTAAAATAACAACAAAAAAATGAGATGGAACTCTTGGGTGTTCTCATGAATAAGAACTCAAATCCTATCTCTGAGGACTCCCCAGGGTTACTATATTTTCCCTTATTTAATCCCAAGATGTCAGCCTTTTCTGCTTAATGCCCTACAGTCTCTTTCCTCCCCCTTCTCTCTGTGAACCCACATCTGGGACATGTCTGCCTTGCTTCATAAAACTTTTCCCATATATAGGACTTTATACTTGACCATATATGTGAATCAAAGTTTCAGAAAGTGATAGAACAAGGAACAACTAAAATTCAGTTTATCCCTGCACCCTAACAGAACCAAGATTTGGAGTCAGAAATTAAATTGGATTGTAAAATATAAAGAAAAATGCATTTCTTACATATCATAGCTTGTGACATGGCAGTCATAACCACTTCAATTGTAGGAAGGGCACTAATATTTTCCCAGAGACAAAGGTAATTATATCGCTCTTTATCATGCTGCTAATGTGTCTTATGCAATCCTGAAATTGTGAGACGCTGTCCAGCTCAGAGGGAAAGTATTCGGTTACATGTAAGTAGACAAAAGGCAGAGAGATAAGGAGTGAAGTTCTTGCCAGAGCAAGCAGATGGTGATAAATTGAGGTTTTCTGTAGAAAAACACAAAGCACAGCTTTGGCCAAGAAAAAGGTTAAGAGATTAAGTAAAAAATATGATGAACTCATCCAGAATGAAAAAAGAGATGGGAAAATACAGAGTGAGTAGAAATTGCAAAGAATAAACTAGGGTAGCAAAGATCAGGTTTGCACGAGGAAAATAGTTTGAAGTCAAAACTCCCTCCAAAACATCCTGTACTTCTTCAGTGTCCAAAACTAGTCAAAAAGGCAGTTAGTCCTTGGTCACAGGTGTATACATAGAATGAATGAATCAAGTAAACTGATATAGACAACCCAGTGACTGCCTGCCCAACCAGTGTTCTCCCCAGGAGAATAAACAAAGTGCTCTTAAAGATTATACCTCCTTAAAGTTAACTGAGTTTACATGACCAGATCCCAGCAAAGTTTACCCAGTGGGCAAACTGGGTAGAACATGCATCTAGGCCCACCCAAAAAATTCCCATCATCCATGAACCTGGAGACAAAGGCCTCTGAGAGGGGAAAGCAAGACTGATATGATTTGGATAAAAATGTCTCATGTGTTTAGAAGTGGATCTTTTGAAAAATGATTGGACTAATCCAGTGATAATTCATACCTGAAAAGGCTGTCAGGAGGTGGAGGACAGTTGGAGGAAATAGGTCACAGAAGGCATAGCCCTGTCCCATGCCACTTTCTTTTTCTGCTTCCTGGTTGCCATGAGGCAAACAGCTTTGCTTCATCCTGTCCTTCCTCTATGATTGTTCTGCCTCACCTCGTACCCACAGCAATAAAACCAGCTTACCATGGACTGAACCTTCAGAAACCATGAGCCAAAATGACCTTCTCCATCTCTAAACTGACTTCCCAGGTGATTCAAACTGCCTAACAGAAAAACGAACTAGATCTCTGAATCACCACTGAGGTCAAGCCATTTACTCATAACTAGAGAATTATGTGAGCAAAAGTAAACTATTGTGTTAATCCACTGAAACGCAGGACAAAAGAATTTGGAGTTCTGGAGTACAAAGTGGTGCATACTCTAACACTTTCACCACATGTTATTCATAGATTATGGTAGCAAGAATGTGATCAGAGAGCAAGTAATGCCACAGAGACTCAAAGAGAAGAGTTGGGCTAGGGGTCTATTAGACAGGGAAGTGAGTTGCACTTAACTGCACCGAGTATCGTTGGGATTGTTTTTAAAAGTTTTGTGTGTGCAACGTCAGCAAACAGGTAAACACTTACTGGGAGTAAAAGGAGGAAAGTTCAAGATGTTTGATTCACACTGTTGATCAGAATCTTGGAGAAAACTAGAGACTTCATCCATTTCCTTCAATGACACAAAATACAAAAATGGAAAATGTTATTGATTTAAAATAAGCTGTTAAAAGATGCCTACCAAACTAGAAGCCAGAATATCTGGGGTCTCCTGTTAAATGGTGTCTGAATTGTGAATAATTTCCCCAACTCTTATTGGACTCTATTTCATCTTTTAAAAAATTAATTCATTGAGTTAATTTATTTCTAGGATTTGTTCATTTCTGAATGATGTTGATTATAAATTAATTTCAATCTTTAAGTAAGAAAAATTATTTCAAAGTCTGGTTCTTGAAGATTTTGTTGTTGATTTTACAATTTCATATGTTTAAAATACTGAAGACAGAGTAACATTTCTGTTTTATAAGTTTCTCCATCTTTTATTTCACGGAATGAGGGACAGTAAGACAATATATAATTAAGATCAAATTCATTTCTTTTCAAGTCTATGAATTTATTTTTTCTCATTGAGTTTACTGGTACTTTTAAAGCATACAGTACAGTTACATTTATCATTGGGATCTTGTACCTTTACATGACAGATATTGGTTCTCATTTTTTCTCCATATCCCCACCCTCCCTTCATCCCCTCCCCGTCCCCTATTTGAGGAAAGGAAAAAATATGAGAAAAGGAAAACATGGAAAAAAAAGTCAAATCCACTTAAGATAAATTAAAAATAAATGATCTCTATTCTTTCAAACAAACAAAAATGTTCTCAAATTTCCAAAAAATCCCCATTATTCACCAAGAAGAAACACAAAAACCCCCCTTGAATTATTTTACCAATTAAATGTTTTGAGCTAATACTACAAATAATAGTACAGTAATAATAACTTTTTAATAAACCATATTTTTGTGATAACAGTTAATGGAGGAAAAAACCAAAGCCTTACTAAAACAAAAAAAGGATTTTCTGAACAGAACTTCAGTTGCATAAGAAATAACAGTGAAGAAAACAACTACAAAGTGAAGAGACATCCTACAGAATGGGGGAAAATTTCCTAGCTATTTCTTGGACAGAGACTAGTATCTAGAATCTATAAAGAATTCAAAAAAATAGATTCCTCAAAATAAAAGATCCAATCAAACAATGGGCAACAGAAGTGACTAGCCATTTCTCAGAAGTAATATAAATGGCCAATAAATACACAAAAAATTCAAATTTGCTATTACAGAAATACAAATTAAAACAACATTGAGATTTTATATTAATCCAGAAATAATGGAAATCTTCAAGAACTCAGATAATTAAAATACTGACAAGGCTATAGGGAAAAAGGAACCCTATTACATTGCTGGTGGGAATACAACCATTATGGAAATCAGTATGGAGTTTTCTCAGAAAACTAAAAAAAGAAATTCCATTTGACCCAGACACTCCTTCCTTTTTAGCAAAGCTAAAGTCATCATATGACAGTGATAATGCATGCCCATGTTTATAGCAGCATAATTTATAATCTTGAATGCAACCTATATGTCCATCAACAGAAAAAATGGATAAAGAAAATGTGGTTTCTGTATATAATGGAACATTACTTGGCTATTTAGAAGGATAAAATTGAAACACTCATAGGAAAAATGCATGCATTATGAAAGCATATTGTTAAATGAGGTAAATCAGACACACAAGCTTAAATACCACATGGTTTCTCTCATAGGAGAAACCCAAAGTTCAAAAAAAGAGCAAATAAAAGATTGATAAAAGAAAACAGAAAGAGATCTTTTGCAAATGAGAAGGGGACCAAGAAACTGAGAGGGTGGCATAAAAAGTTAAAATCTGTCATGTACATGTATATTTATGCACAATGAATATAATCATTACATATTGCAAGCATGAGTGAAAGAATGAATGAATGACTTAGGGGAGGGGATCTAGAGATGGAAGGAGGGACAAGAATGGGGAATTTTTAAAAAATTAAAATATGTTGAGTGCATGTACTCACTCCCTAAAATGAACGCAAACATCATATGCTACAAACGTGCTAATAAAAAATTTCATTAGTTAAATGACCACTTGGTGGAAAATTTTTAGAAGCCTAGTTTACTGTATATACATTCAGGATTAAGCAAGAGAATTGTGAATATCACCACCTCAAGCAAACTGTTTATTACAAATCACAGTCCAAATTCATCTGAAAAACTGGCACTTATGCTTCCAAAGAAAATTCCTATCTAGTATAATAACTTACAATCCACACTCCATCAAACTCCAGGCGGTTATGAAAGTCAGTGAATTGCTCTGTCCACCACTGAGTACACACTGGATTGCTGAAATCAGGAAAGACTACCTTCCCCGGATATCCCTAGGAAACAAACAACACCATGGAAATTTGTTCGATAGTTCAGTTATTCAAGTACAGTGCTCTAGGCTACCATTTCTTTTACTAGAAACTCCATGTTGCATATCACTTTAGAGTCAAAATGTGTGATTCCCCCAGTAAAATCAAAAGAGTGAAAATACATACAAAGGACCAAAAGAAGAAAAAAGACTTAATGAAAATAACATTGCATGCTCTTTTCTATGAAACTAGTGTAGTGACACCAAAGTGTATTATGTCTTCATCTCATGGAAGATGAACTGTTTAAAACAGTGGAATGTCTAATTGTAGTATTTTAAAAGAGAATGATTAAGCATGTTCAATGTATTATGAATTCAATGTTATAGTAAACCTGCTTTGAATAATTTTATTATAAATAACATGTTGATGATTGCATATAAACAATATTTTATAAAGGGCTAAGTAAAATTTATGCCTCCTATGCCCTATTTTTATCTACATCTATCAAACAGTAACTTTATTTTTGTGGGGGGGCACTGGGGATTGAACTCAGGTCCTAAGAGGCAGACAGCAGAAACACTGAGCTAAATCCCTGATCCATTAAACAATAACTTTAAACATCTTCCATAAATAGCACAAATATATAATGATAGCCAAATTATTTAAAATTCTGAAGGAACAGGATGCAAGCTTTTGTGCAAAATTCTTGCTGATTATTCCAATAAACCCACAAAATTTGGAATAGTTTTACATTCAGGCAACATAATGAATATATATACCAGAAATGCAAGAAGTCTTAAAAGATAAGATAAGAGCTTGAAATTCCCACTTTAAGTGGACTGGACTCTTAGTCCTCTGTTTTAGGTGATAGGCACTAAATAAGAATAAGAGGTAATCTTGGATCTCAGCAAACAGGTAGTTCAGCCCAGTAATCTCCAACAGCAGCATTCAGTCAAAGACAGACTAGGAAAACTCCATTATAACCAAATACATGTATAACAAACCCCTACCCATTTCCCCCAGCAGCTACCTCTGCCAGCACCTGAAGCCAAATCATTCATGTTATCTATTAGTTAATGGACATAATAATCTAATTAAATTCTTATAATTATGTGCAAATATTTCATTATATGATGCTCAAATATATGCACTACTAAAATGACTCACAGATGTGAATAATTTTTAGATGGCCCAAATAATTTTCATTTTGCTAGGGACTCTGACTAGGTATTTATACATAAATATGAGTGGATCTATCTGATATTTTAGAAAATCACATACAACAAAGCAGTAAAAGTGAAAACTTGGTTTAGAAAAGGAAACTATCCTACTGCCTCACGGAAACAAAATCAATGAAAAAGAAAGTAAACAGAATGAAGCATTATAAACAAAGTCAATAAAAAGAATTAATGGAGTAAAGTTAAGAAAAGCCCATAGATTCGGTACCAGTTTAGTAATTCTCACAAAATCCAATTACCTGGGGTTGATCCTCTACATAACTGTAATCAAAGATTGACTACGTATATGCTTTTATTTAAAGTATACACTCTTAGGGGAGGGGTTTAACTCAGTGGCAACCGCGTCTGTCTCACAAGTGCAAGGTCCTAAGTTTGATCCCCATAGCCCCCCAAAAAAGTACAAACTCGTAGAAGTTCAGCTCTCCTAAAAAGAGCTCTTGACTAGTCTATTCCAGTGCCTAAAACTGCTACCTTAGACTCTGGGCTTTTTCCAGAAGTCTTGTGTAAATTAGAATCATGTTAAATGAGATAGCTTCTATATTAACCTACGAGCATCCAGGTGTCTTATTATACTTGAATTTATTGTTTTGAAAAAGAGATGGAAATTTGGAGGCAGAAAGACTTTAAGTAATTGACTTTTCTTCTAATGGCACACTGCTTCTCATTTATCTATAGTGTTACTGGGTCAGGGACTCACTTTTTAAATCTTTCAGAGGTTTATTCTTTGATTCAGACAATTACTGTCTTAGAAATAATAATGAGAAAAATTCCTTAAAGCACTGTAAAAAAAAGTAGCGTTGTTACTTGTCTTTTACCCATCTTCGTACCAAAGTAAAAAGCCCCCCAAACAACTGTAAATTACTCTGACTTTCTTGAGAAATTACCTGCCCAACTGCAAAGCCTTTACTTTCCAAGATCCACACTCTCTTTATGCTTCCATTGTTGTAAGTCATGTAGTTAGGGTCCCTGAAGATGCCAGAATTCTAACAAGCAAATAGGATATAAATATTATTTTGTGAAGAGTTTTCTAACTTTGAAAGAAAATATAAGGCAACACAGTAATGTTTAAGCACACCATCATAATTATATATTTCTGTCCATTGTTATGTAATTCTTTGGCAAAACCTGAAAGGTTGTAGTAAGCTTGTTCATCAATAGTGAAATCTTTCTTTCCATCCATATAGTCTATGTCTGAGTACTGGACATCCTGAAAGATAGGAACATGAATTAGAACTCAGAAATTGTCATCTTGCCAATTAGAAAGTGTTCAGTTCTAGTTCCTGACCATTAAAAAGAAGCTATGTTTCTTTTTTCCATTAAGTTTACTGGTACATTTTAGGTATACATTATGATCACATTCATCATTGTGAATTTGTACCAGTGCAAGATATATTTTTATTCTTGTTTTTTCCCTATTCCCCTTCCTTCCCTTCCACTCATGTTGAGGACATACTCTTAAGTGAAAAAAATAGGACAGATGTGTATAAAAACCGATAGTTTCTCTGGTGTGAAAAACTGCAAGAGTAAGTGGGACTAATAGTAGATAATGTAAAATAGGAGAAGGTCCAAAAGGGAAGGGGAAGTAGGGAGGTGTGGTGGAGGAAATGAAAGAAAAGAAGAAAAAATATGAGAAAAGGAAAAATGGAAAGAAGGCATGCTGCTTGCTAATCCTGAAACCTTCAGGTCTCACGACCTCCTAGGAGTGAATACACCCTCTTTAAGATATAGATGCTCTTAGGTTGCAGCTTCACCTTGCCATCCTGACAGAGATGTATCACAAAGTATCGAGAGGCACTTGACAACAGGACCTGTATCTTGCTCATCTCTGTAACTTGAGAGTCTGCATGCTTGGCATGAAGCAGGTGCTCTTTAAATGTTTATGTAAAGAGCACATCAGCAATGTTATAATCACTTACAACCTTGAATGCCAACTATTAAGTCAGAATATATTATAAAAGGAGAAAATAGTCTTTTGCCTTATAAAACTGCAAGAGTAATGATTAACAAAGATTAATGGCAAAGAGATAGAGCTTTAACTAACCAAACTCTCAGACCTACAGTTTCTTGTGTTTGCACATCAGCCTGCAAGGGGTAGGTATTATTCTTTGTGAGAAGATAGAAATGTGAAGGAACCAGGTAACATTTTCTAAAGTCACATGATTTAGCAGCTGGAGAGCTGACTGGGACTTGGTGACAGGCTCTTTGACTCTGGAGGCTCTTTCTTTCCTAATCTGCCACATGCGTTGAAAACATATGGAAGTGTTTTTATGTATTTCTCATGTGGTAGTGCATTAGGAACCTCTAGTCTGTGGCCTGTTGTCCAATATGGCATCACCAGTTCTGTTACTAGGAGGTCTCTTAGGACCCAGGTGCCCCCCACAACCACAGAGAGAGAAGCTCCCAGCTATGGAAAAAAATATTTTTTTTCTGAATTGGTAATATCTCAATAAAGCCCTTCTTATCAAAAGCAGGAAGACAGATTACAGCAGTACCACACGTGCAGTCAAAAGAATGCTCTCTGTGTACTGATCCTGCCCCTTAGCTACTTGTGGCATTTAGCTGTTAGTTGTTAGCTATGCAGTGTCTGTTTCCTCACTTACAAAATAGTGATCAATTGGAGCACATCAAGAATTTTAAAGCCCTTTGTAAAATAATAAATGAGTTGTAAAATTTGGTCTGATTTCTCCCAGAACTAGGTTTTTCTTTTAAGATAGAAGATGGGGAATAATGAAAATAAATGCAATCAATTTGCCTTTAATACCAAAACAACATGGTGAGCATCAGATTTCTCAAAGGAAAGACTGAGTTCCTTGCCTACCCTCATTGCTACTCTGAGAGGGGACTGAAGAATCTAAGACCAAGTCAGAGTCATTTACACCTGTGCAATCTTCCTTCACATGTAAAACATACGTTTGCTTTAAAGTTCCAAAGTTCAATAAAGCTAACCCAAGATAATCTCTTTTGATAATTTCACTAATCATGCATTATACATTGCCTGGAGAAGCTTATCAAATATTACACACTTAAAATTATCTGTGATTTATGGTTGGACAATGGATATCAAAAGTATTGTTCGATCCTGAAGCTTCAAAATTAATCTGCTAAGTCTGGAAAGGGTTCACAAGGTCACTGTGACAAATTCATTTCCTGTCAGTCATTAATGTGATCACTGGTGCTTAACTGTGTTACCTCAGGTGTTGCTTTCTCTCATAAATAACAGGTAGCTTTGATGGTGTTCATGTTGTAAGCTACATGTTTTATATACATGGTATAAGTTATTTTTTAGCACCAAGTGACGTAAATCTTACACTCTAGTTTAGCAAGGGTGGACTTGAGACTTGAGATATGAAAGTAGACCAATATTGTATGAAACTAAGAAGATGCATGACTAAAATTCAAAACCATTTCCATTTGATTCATAAACTTTGTAGTTTATGTGGTCAGATAGGCAATTTAACCTGCAAAATTTCTGAAAGAAAGTATGCTTGCATCCCTGTCAATCTATCAACCTATTGGACTATTTGTATTTTGCCTAATAAATTAAATTTGCTGCAACATGCAAGATAGAAAGTGGTTCTAAAGGCAGGTAAAAGTATCAACTTACATAAGGGATCCCAGCTTCACGATTTCGCCTTACAACCTCCTTCAATACATTGATGTCACCATAATTCCTGCGACTAAGCTGGAACCCAAGACTCCAGTAGGAAGGCAAGAATGGTCGCCCAACAAGCTAGAAAGAGAAGTAGTTTTAAGCTTTATAGCAAGCAGTATTCGTACCGCCAAGTTCAAAAGTGGAAACATTAACTCCATTTCATTTTTTATAAGGTCTTCCAATCTAAAAATGATAGAGCCATGAGTAATCTAGAGTAATCTGCAAATTTCCACAACAAACATATGTCTTCACTGAGTACCTAAATGTATTCCCCCAAACTAGTAACGTTAAAAATCATAAGGAATATGTGCTTCACTAATGGCAGCATCTTGGGGGGAAACTAGTGGCGTTCATTCATTCAGGAAGGATTGTTTTTGGTGCTTACCAGTGCCAAGAGCTGATGTGGGTACTAGGATATAATGACAGAAAACTAACATCACTTCCTCCCTTGAAGAGCTTAAAGGAAACGTATGCCGACCGTAATTTCAGGTAGTGGCATTTTCCATGGATTAAAAAAAGGACAACTGATAGGATTAGGAGTGGATGAGTGAAAAAACTGGAGGATGTTTAAAATTCAAATATCCAAGTTGCTCTAGCCAACATTTTGTGAAGGTTCCAGCTGAACCTTGTCCTGCTTTGTTCCTAAGCGTCCCTGCCCTGCATTAGCAGGATGCTTTGTCTCAAGTCTCTGAATCCCCAACTTCTACCTCATTAACAGCATTTACTGCATTATTGATGTTTCCTATTATTTCAACTGTATTGCATTTATCTTTTTTTTTTTATTGAGTTTATTGGTACATTTAGGGATACAGTACAGTTACATTTATTGTTGGGATCATGTACCTTTACATGGCAAGTCTTGATTCTCATTTTTTTCCCCTTACCTCTGCCCTCCCTTCACCCCCTCCTCCCCTCCCCATCTACAAACACTTTATTTTCATCTTTTCATTCTCTCACATTTTTTTCTTTTCCCTTTTTGTTCTTCCCCTACGTATCACACCTTCCCTACATCTTTAGCTCCTTTCCTCCCATTTCTAAATGTCAGTAATCTTATTAGAATCTTATGCATTGTTGCAGAATATTCACACCAGGGAAACTATTCGGTATTTACACATGTGGGACTTATTTATTTCACTTAGGAGTATATCTTCAATATGTATCCATTTTCCTATGAATGAATCTATTCTCTCGCTCTTTATGGCTGAGTAATATTCCATTTTATAGAAAAACCACAACTTCTTTATCCAGTTTCCAACGGATGGGCAAATAGGTTGTTTCCAAGATTTAGCTATTACAAACTGTGCCGCTATAAACATGGGTGCACATACTTCTCTGTGATATGATTCTTTCAGTTCTCTTGGAAAGATACCCAACAGAGGGATGGCTGGGTCAAATGGAACCTCCGGTCCAAGCTCTTTGAGGTATCTCCATATTGATTTCCATAGCGGTTGCACTAGTCTGCACTCCCACCAACAATGGAGGAGGGTTCCTTTCTCCCCACAACCCCGCCAACATTTGTTATTGTGTGATTTCTTGATAGCAGCCATTCTTTGTGGGGTGAGGTGGAATCTTAGTGTTGTTTTCATCTGCATCTCTCGAATGACCAGTGATGTGGAACATTTTTTCATATATTTTCTTGCTGCTTTCACTTCTTTGTATGAGAAATGTCTGTTCATTTCGGATGCCCATTTTTGGATCGGGTCTTTATATTTGGGGGGACTGATTGTTTTGAGTTCTTTATATATCCTTGATAATAGTCCTTTGTCTGAGGTACAGCTGGTAAAAATTTTTTCCCCACATTGTAGATTGTCTCTTAGTTCTGCTAATAGTTTCTTTTGAAGTACAGAAGCTTTTTAGTAAGATGAGATCCCAGTTGTTGATTCTTTCTGCTAGTTCCCGTGCTACTGAGGATTTGTTCATAAAGTCTTTTCCTATACCAATGTCTGCCAGAGTTCTGCCTAACTTACTTTCCAGCAAGTTTAATGTTTCTGTTTTAATATTTAGATCTTTAATCCATTTGGATTTTAATTTAGGGCATGGCGAAAGATAAGGGTCTAATTTTAATCTGTGACAGGTTGATATCCAGTTTTTCCAACACCATTTATTAAAGAGGCTATCTTTCCTCCACTGAGGATGGTGAGCTCCTTTGTCGAAGATGAGGTAGCTGAGTACATCTGCACTTGTTTTTGTGTCTTCCAGTCTGTTCCATTGATCCTCAGGCCTATTTCTTTGCCAGTACCATGCTGATTTTATCACAGTGGCTTTGTAGTATAGTTTCAAATTGGGAATTGTTACACCTGGTGCCATGTGACTGTTGCCTATAATGGCTTTTGCTATTCTAGGTCTCTTGTGGTTCCAAATGAATTTTTGGATTCTTTTTTCTAGTTCTGTGAAATATAGTGTTGGAATTTCAATTGGCATTGCATTGAATGTATATAGCAGTTTCGGTAGTATGGCCATTTTCACTATGTTGATTCTTCCTACCCAGGAGCAGGGAATATCTTTCCATTTTTTTATATCCTCTTCGATTTCTTTTTTCAGAGTGCTGTAGTTTTCAGTGTAGAGATCTTTTGTATTGCATTTATCTTATTTGATTATAAAGTCACTGGCATCTTGAACCATATTTCATATTGCTTTATGAATGATCTTCAATGAATTACTTCATCTTTTTGTAATTGAGTTTGCCATCTATAAAGCAGAAAGTTTAGGGTAAGATGGTGTCTAAGTGTTCTCTCTTATTCTATAGTTTCAGTCAAATATAAAGAGCTAGTAATATTTCTTTCACATAATTCTTTTCACTGAATCTTTTACTGTTGAATGAACAAATTCTGTGGTTTGTGACTGTGGCTGTTGGGAATGATTGGTCCTCCCTGGACAGATGATGAGTGCCTTACGACCTATCAACTAACTTAGTTTTGTACTTCCCAAGTGCAAAAAGCATCCAATAAATCTCATCAGAATAAACAAGTGATGAAAGACTCAGAGTCCCAGAATTTATAACCTATTCAACTACTAATAACATGTGTTTTCTTCTTGTTAAGTTACATAAGCATAGGTGACACTTGCCCAGGATCACCCAATGCAAAGCCATACCTCCAGGTATTCCTGGACCACTTGCTCTGGAGTGTTACCCAGGAACACATAAAAGTCAAGAATGCCTCCAATTGTGCGGTAAGTGATTGCAGGAGCAGGCTGAAGGGCAACCTCTAAAAGGATTTAAATAAGTTATTAGAATCTTATGACTGAAAATGTTCTTTAGAGCATTAATAAAAGAGTCTTCTAAAACAATCTTAGTTTGATTTGTAAAGGAGTATAAGTCACATATGTTCATTTTATTACAAGATTATTGAAACACCAAAGAAACACTGGGTTTTTATTTTAAGGAAAAGAAAAAACAAATTATGGTTTAATCTATCCATTTAAAACTATAAGTTTTTGGAGTTCATGGGTGGTTCAACTTAGAGAAAAATATTTTTTTTAATTTTTACTTTATGAATTTGATTACAATTAAAACTTTTTAAAATAATAATTTTCAATTCACCAATGACCCAGAAGATGGAGAAGGAAGATTATGGAGTATATTAAGTGTGGGCTATGAGAAACAGTCCATTACAGTAAAATCTGTTGCTTACAGACAGTATGGTTCACATTGGAAGCTATAGTTATGTTTAAATATGTTTATTGGTGAGCACCATCTATTAATGAATTCTGTAAATAGTGTCTTCTGCATGTTAGGTGAAGCATTCCACCAAAGATCCTTGAAGCAGTCTTCAGTGAAAATACTTTTAAACATGGACTGTATTTGCACATAGGTTAACTTACTTTCAGATTTGTGATCTCGCCATAAAAGTAATTTTTATTATAAAACTAGTGTCTGAAAATCTACTCCCACTGGTGGAAAAGAAAAAGATGTTTCCTACCCATGGCATTACTGTTCATCAAAAAAACTCCAAATGAGAAGCCACTGGTACCCTCAAGGCACAAGAAGAATGTATGTGCTCCATATAGATTGATCAGGCCCTGTTAGCAAAAAAGGAAAAAGAGAAGTAAGAGTTTTATGTGTTAAAAATGTTTACTCACCTTAAAATTAAATCAAATGCCAGCTATACATGTACTTGATCAACACTTGATGTCATGTAAAGGTACCTAAAATTAATGGAATCATCAACTAACTAGTGGAAAGACAAAATATGATAATATCTAGACAGTGGGGTAAATATTCAGTAATGGCAAGAAATAAATACTAATACATACTGCAAAATAGCATGTATGTTATGCTAGGTGAAAGAAACAAGCACAAAAGGTGATATATCGCAAGATTCTACTTATACAGAATGTCTTGAAAAATAAAATCTATGGACTTAAAGTAGAGTAGGAATTGCCTGAGGTAGTTAGTGTGCACATGGGATAGGAAATGCGATTAATTTTGAAAAGGCATAAGATATTCTACTGGGGTGGTGAATTATTATAAAAAGTCCCAAAACTTAGTCATAATGATTCTTGCACAACTCAATTACCATGCTAAAAATCACTAACTGTTCTTAAAATAAATGAATTTTTTTGTGTATAGTACTGAAAATTGAACCCAGGGCCTCCTGCATGCTAGGCACATGCTCTGCTACTGACCTTTGCCAAAACAGGTAACTTTTGTGTATATAACTTATTCCTCAATCAGGTTATTTTTTAAAAATTGAAAAACATTTACAATGATAAGTACGACATTTTAGAAGAAGGTGATGGTGTTATTAGCAATTTTGAATTTCTTAATGCTGTTTTTTAATTTCTAAAATTAATATATAAAAAATTTAAAACTAAGAGAAAAGATATTGAACCTGTCACAGAGAGGGTTGGATGAGCAGAAGTGTGTATTTAATAGTAAGATCCATAAAATTACAGATATTGAAATTATAATAAGCAGGAAGTTTTACAGAAATCCCCTGTGTGAAAGCATTGCAATCAACCCATGGAACAGGGCAATAAAATGAATAATGATAAAGTCCAAAAGAAAAGAAGAACCGAACCAACACAACAGGCAAAATAGAGACGATAATGCAGTCAATGGCACCCTGAATAGATTTAACATTGTACCAGGAAGACTGAAGGCAAAATACTTGGATAGAATACAAACTAACTTTTATTAATTTTTAAAGAAAGGAAAACTGAGGACAAGGGATAGAAAAGGAGGAAGGGAAGAAGAAAGAAAGAAAGGAAGGAAAAAGGAAGAAAAGGAAGGAAGGAAGGAGAGGGAGGGAGGAAGGAAGGCAGGTAGGCAAGGAAGCATTTAACCTAATATGTAACAATATAATTTAAGAATTTCAGCTGTGTAAAATTAAATGTAATATTAATCTAAGGTATCTGTCAGGTTCCTAGACCAACAGTTCAGTGAATGTGTAGGTCCTGCTTTTTCCTTCTGCTCAGTTAGAAAAGCACACTCCTCCCATTGCATCAGAGACAGGTAGGGGAACCACAAATGAATGTACTATTGGCTTTGCTCATCTCTTACAGAGCATGAAACTTCAGGCCCATCCCTGTGTGCACCACACTTCCGTGCTTCCCTCAGCTCTGGCTCTGATCTGAGAACCACACTCAGTGCGATGGAGGCTTCAGACATGTTCTGTACACCAGTGCTGCACTGACAATTGCCTTTGGACTGGTACCTTCCCAAATTCTTTACTATTAGTCAGCAGCAAGATAAATACAAAAACGAGGTGTAAGACTTTAGAAAATCTTTTATAGCTCTTTAAAAAAGTAGTAATTTTATGTTTCTTCCTTTTAAAATTCAGGCTAATTTTTATATCTTTGGATTTTTACATTTTGTTTGACCAAAAAGGTATCTTACAAAATCATTGCCCATGCCAAATTGACCAAAACTATGTAAGCTAATTTTTTCGCTCCAAGTAAGAGGACAGGCACCAAGTAGAAGACCCTTCTCTTTTACAGGCATGTGAATTGCCTGCAGGTATGGAATATTACTCAGCCATAAAGAGCGAGAGAATAGATTCATTCATAGGAAAATGGATACATATTGAAGATATACTCCTAAGTGAAATAAATAAGTCCCACATGTGTAAATACCAAATAGTTTCCCTGGTGTGAATATTCTGCAACAATGCATAAGATTCTAATAAGATTACTGACATTTAGAAATGGGAGGAAAGGAGCTAAAGGTGTAGGGAAGGTGTGATACGAAGGGGAAGAACAAAAAGGGAAAAGAAAAAAATGTGAGAGAATGAAAAGATGAAAATAAAGTGTTTGTAGATGGGGAGGGGAGGAGGGGGTGAAGGGAGGGCAGAGGTAAGGGGAAAAAAATGAGAATCAAGACTTGCCATGTAAAGGTACATGATCCCAACAATGAATGTAACTGTACTGTATCCCTAAATGTACCAATAAACTCAATTAAAAAAAAAAAAAAAGCAGCTTTGAATTCAATGTGTCTCAGGTTCTCTACATTCCTGACCTCCAAGGTGACGCCAGCCCTGCCATCTCAGAATAGTATCTTGACTAGCAAAGACTTTACACAAAAGCTGTTCAGAAGCATTTTCCACCCACAAGTATTGAGATGGAGATGAGAACATGAGAGTGGCTCCTGCTGAAGTTCTTCCCTCGATATTCAATTATTAAAGTCTGATAGTGTTATTTTGCAAAAACATTCCTTAATACATACTAATCACTCAATTATATTTTCCACCAAAAGTAAGATTGTTTTAAAAATTTCTAAATGTGAGTTTAAAACTTCAAAACAAGTATTCAACACAAACATCCCAATTAAGCAAAATAAGACATGGATGTATCTCTGTAGGCTTCCTTTGAGAAAGGAAGCAGCGAGTTCCTGACCATGCACGCTGAGCAGGAAGAAGGGGACCTCACCGCGGTGGGGGTCGTGTCCCGCGTGAAGATGGGCCAGGTTTTCCAGTTCATGTCATGGCGGTACTGCTGGTGCACATGCTCCCCCAGCCCGTACACATTGGTGCTGGGCAGGCGGAAAGACAGCTGCAGGTACTGATAGGCAAACTGAAGGGGCCCAATGCTTGTGTCCAACCTGGGTCATGGGGGAAAAATGAGAGTCACTGAATCGCTCTCTTATCTCTGCCAGGAAGCTGTTTGCATCTTTCCACATTCACTCCGCCATCAGCTCTCGGTGTTTTCACCAATCCTGTTACCTTGGAAGGCCTTTCCAGGGCATCTCTGGTTCTTTGAATCTAGGGGAGCACAGTACCAGTGATAGACACCAGAGTCTCAGGTTGGGAAAAGAGACTTCTTATATGCTGTCCATCTTCTGCATCCCAGACACCATTCTGGATGTTTTCTAAATACTGTCTCATTTTCCCTAGCAAAAGCAGATATTTTATGGAGCAGGAAATTGATGCTAAAGAGGTAGCACATATCACTGACCAGTAATTTGCTAGTGCCAGGATTTGAGCATAAGTTTTATTAATATCATGATTTGAATTCTCTCCGGGAAAATTGGTGATGTAAATTCAAACACTTTTAGGTGCTTGATGGTAAGATTTACAGAAAATAATACTTTGGAATGATAAACAGAGAAATTTCAGTACCAGTATAAATGATAACTCAATAAACTTCTTACTTCATAATATATGTGAACTATGAGCATGTATATACTTATATAACTTAGTATATTAATACGTTACATTTTAGTACTCTTTCCTCTACAATCATGACAGATTATCATTGTGAATTAGAGTAAAAAATGTACATATTTCTGAAGAGCAAGTATATTTTAAATCATACTTATCTTTCTTCATGCCAAGAATATGTTGGAATGAGTGATACTGGGTATATTGAAAAATGTGCAAAGAATGTTGAAAAGCTCACAGGACTCTTTTGTTGCTCATCCTCATTACTTTGATGCTGAAGGGCGTGTTGGTGACCTCTATGTGGTAGCTCAAACCCGAGGTATCAGTAGTTCCATTACTGGGCTTGATGTTTTCGTGGGGTACCTCATAACGAATCTCATTGGGATCAGTAATCTGTCAGAAGAAACCAGAAGGAATAGCTTCAAGTATGATCTCTTCCTTGTAGAACTACATCCCCCATGAGAATAGCTTCTGATTCATTTTTTTTTCCAGTACCAGAAATGGAACTCAAGACCTAATGCTTGCTGGTAGACTCAGCGCCACTGAGCTACATCCCCAGCCCTAGCTTCTGATTCTTGACCTTACGGCTCTTTGTGGAAAGAAATCACTCAACCACCACGTGGCCTGTCAAATAAAAATTACCCTGCCCATCCTATCCCAAGATTCCTGCATTGAGGAATGGAGATACTTTCTGCTTCCACACATTTGCATAGAACATAATGGAAACTGGTATGAATGAGCACAGGGTAGGGAACTCCCAGGACTGGTTAACGCCCAAACCAACCTTAAAGTGAAAACGATTGGATGTCTGAAATTCAGCAGTGAAGAGGGCATCAGTTACATCATTTCCAAATAGAGATGGGGATGGAATCTTTTTCAACTGGGCAGTGAACCCTAGAATATGAAGAGCCATGCAAGAGAGAGACTTTTAACTTTGATTTTTGTAGTAATAAAAAGACTAACATACAAAGAGTTTTCCCCTGGGGATACACTTGGGCAGTGCTCACCCATGCTTGTATGTTCAAGGCCACTGCTGACTTCATAACCCCAGTTCCTGGGGAAGAAGCAACTAGGAGCATTGGTATCTGCCACGGGATCCCAACAGCACTTATACTGCCTTCTGCAGATATCCTGTAATGATAGGCACAGAGTTGGCATTATACAAAATAAAGGAAGGAAAGCATTATTTGACCATTTCTTTATAAACTTTTATTTCAAGAGGAATTTAAGATACTTACATTCATCATGTATTCATTCTTTACCTGTTCATACAGCTATGGAGCTATTTAAATGCGTTTATCAATCAGCAAGAAATTTATAACATAGACAAATGAGATACAGTGGTGTGTACCTTCAGAAAATTTACAGGCTAGCAAGAAATCAAGACAATTTGAAAAGTGGTGACAGTATGATGAGTTATGTGTTCTAAGAGACTGTAAGGGAAGCTGGGGGAATATGCACACCAGCCATTGCACCGGGCTGGAAGGCTGAGAATACAGTGGAGAGGACTCCAGATAGGAAAAGCAAAAGTTAATTCCTAAAGCCCCAGAAACTGTCAGATAGGTGAACAGTAGAAAGGCCACTAAAGCAGGGAAGACAGCCATACACAGTAGACTGAAAAATACAAACTTGCTATGCTGAGAACACTGGGTAAGAACAATGGGCATAGAAAGACCAAGAAGATGTACATGAAGTTATTGACTCATAACTGGGAAGGGGATTTGGATGTACAGAGAAAACATGACTAAGGACTACTCTGATTTATTCTGTACCTAATAATAATGTCTGAACTTTTATTAAAGGAATGCATTCAGTATAGATTGTGTTATTTATTTATTTTTTTTATTTTTATTTTTTTTGGTACTGGGAATCAAACTCAGGTCCTTGCGCTTGCAAGGCAGGCCACCGAACTGCTGAGCTAAATCCCAGGCCCTAGATTGTGTTATTTAAAAATAAAGAATATTCTAGGTCTCTTATGGTTCCAAATGAATTTTTGGATTCTTTTTTCTTTTTTCTCACCTCACCCCACAAAGAATGGCTGCTATCAAGAAATCACACAATAACAAATGTTGGCGGGGTTGTGGGGAGAAAGGAACCCTTCTCCCTTGTTGGTGGGAGTGCAGACTGGTGCAACCACTGTGGAAAACAATATGGAGGTACCTCAAAGAGCTTGGACTGGAGGTTCCGTTGGACCTAGCCATCCCTCTGCAGGGTACCTTTCCAAAAGAACTAAAAGAATCATATCACAGTGATGTATGCCCACCCATGTTAATAGCGGCACAGTTTGTAATAGCAGAACTTGGAAACAGCCCATTTGCCCATCAGTTGGAAACTGGATAAAGAGATGTAGTTTTTCTATAAAATGGAATATTACTTAGCCATAAAGAATGAGAAAATGGATTCATTCATAGGAAAACAGATATATATTGAAGATATACTCCTAAGTGAAATAAATAAGTCACACATGTGTAAATACCAAATAGTTTCTCTGGTGTGAATACACTGTAACAATGCATAAGATCCTAATAAGATTACTGACATTGTGAAATGGGAAGAAAGGGGCTAAAGGTATAGGGAAGATGGGATGGGTAGGGGAAAGGTAATAAGGGAAAAGAAAAAAATGTGAGATAATGAAAAGATGGAAATAAAGTGTTTGTAAATGAGAACCAACCTGTCATGTAGAGGTACAAGATCCCAACAATGAACGTAACTGTACTGTATCCCTAAAACATACCAATAAACTTAATTAAAGCTGTAAAAATAAATAAAAATAAAGAATATGTCACAATGCAACTCATTTGCAAAAGGTATAGTACTGACAAGTACTTTCAATACCAGCATCTGATATAATTTTCTGTAAAACCTTCATATTGATATAATTTAAATCAGTACCTACTATGAAAAAGCACATTATATCACAAGATATATTTAAATATTTGTTAATTCTCCATAAATCTAATTGACATTCTTGCCTCATACTTTTCAGATAACAGCAACAACAACAAAAAAAAGACTACTGGATTAACTCAGTGGTTCCGCCTCCTGCTTTGCAAGTGCAAGATCCTGAGTTCAATCCCTAGTACCAAAAAAAAAAGGACTACTGGAAATCAGTGAAGAAAGAATTTGGGGTTCTGGCTGGCCTCTGCATGATTGTCCTAAGTCTGAGACAGACACTGAGAACCTCTACCACTTTGCAAATGGGGTCTGAGTCTGAGTCCACAAGGTTGTTTCACTGCCATAAACTGTTTCAAAGCCTGCAGACTTCCATAAAAAGTAATTAACATTCAGATAAATACATTCTTGGGTGCAATCTGCTCTAATGTTCTTCTTCCAGTCCCAGGCACCAAAGGTCAAACCTTGTAGACAATTAACTTCTAATCCTTCAAACCCCATATATCTTCCATGCATGTGTATAGTGACAGCATTGCTTTCTTTCCTTTTCATTCCTATTGTCATTACAGTAACACAAATGCCTAAACTATCGTGTTGACTCACAAGTCTCCTTGTCTTTATTCTTTCTTTAACACTAAACTTTCAAAAGATTATCTCTAGCTATCTTGCAAATAAATTCTATGTGATTTTCAATCAGACATTATTCACTAATATAAGAACTGAAAATTGCCTTGGAATTTATTGAGTCCACTTTCTATTTGATGAAAGCATGTCTTTCATAGAGTCTCTGATAGATGTTTAAATTCTGTAAATGATATATATCCAACTTCTTCCAAAATTAAGAAATTTCACTTTCGTATTTAGTATTTTACTGCAATGATATTTCTTTAAGTTTAGAGTCAGCCTCCAGAAAGTTTCATTTTCTAAAACTACTCTATTCAAGTTGCCTTTTAGATTAACTCTCTTAAGTCATATTAAAACTTTTAAAAGGGAAGGAGTCTGATTATAGTTATGTGATGAGAAAGAAAATGGAACCTATATATAGAAAAAAAACTGTGTCATTATTTGCAAATAACATTATCATATCAGAAAACCCCAAATGATTTTACATAAAATTGAAAAGAATAAATAAAGTTAAGAACATCTTGTTATAAGATCAATATTCAAATATCAATTATAAATCTATGCCAACAACAGAGAAGCAGAATTTTATATTTAATAATAGCACTTTGTAGAGTTAAATATTAATTGTTAAAAATTAAAACTGTGTAAAAATAAAAATAAAAATTCAAAAATAAAACTCTGGATAAATAAGGAGTCAGTATCACATTTACAACTTTTAATATTCAATTTCATAAAAATGATAATTATCCCAAAATCAATCAGTAAATTTTATTCAATGACAATTGAATTTCTGGTAGATTTTGTGGGAGAAAATTGGCAGGCTAACATTCATTGAGAAGTCTAAAGGGCAAAGAATGGGATATACAATCTTGAAGAATGATATCAGTGATTTGGAAGTCTTATAAGACCATATGTCAAGACCAATTATGAAGCTATGATAACCAAGGTGGTGTGATATTGGTGAAAAGGACAAGCTAACAATTTAACAGAATGGGTTTCAGAAGGAAATCACATATAAACATAGGATTTACTGCAGAGGACTGTAATATTGATTATGCCCAAGGCAGGCTGTGAAGAGTTAGCCCACAATTGGCTTGCTTATAGAAGTGAGACTGGCTGAAGCCTAAATGCTGAAGGCAGAGTAACTCACACCCAAATTCCATTCCCATAACTAAAACTTTCTAACTAGAAGAACAATGTTCTAATTACAAGCATATATTTTGTCTATACTATTTCTAATTGGAAATGATATGATACTCGATATAGAAGACCCAAAAAACTCCACAAAAAGATTTCTAGAATTAATTGACAGATTCAGTAGAGTATCTGGATATGAAGTCAATGCTCATAAATCAATAGTATTCTTGTACACAAATAACAGACTCACTGAGAGAGAAATTGGGGAAACAATTTCTTTCACAATAGCATCCCCCCAAAAGTGAAATATCTAAGAATCAATCTAATGAAGGAAGCAAAAGACCTCTGCATTGAGAACTACAACACTCTGAAAAAAGAGATTGAATAGCATATTAAAAAATGGAAAGACATCCCTCCTGGGTAAGAGAAACCAATAGAGTGACAATGGCCATACTTCCAAAACTGCTATACAGATTTCTGATTGAAATCCCAACAGTATACTTCACTGAACTAGAGAAAACAATCCAAAAATTTATTTAGAACCAGAAGAGACCTAGAATAGCAAAAGCCATTCTAAGCAACAGAGACATGACAGGGGGTATCACAATCTCCAACTTGAAACTATACTACAAAGCCACTATAGTTAAAACAGCATGGCACTGGCAAAGAAACAGACCCAAGGATCAGTGGAATAGATTGGAAAATGCAGAAACATCTCAAGACATACACAGCAACCTTATCTTTGACAAAGGAGCCAACCATCCTCACTGGAGGAAAGATAGGCTCTTTAATAAATAGTGTTGAAAAAACTGGATTTCAACTTGTCAAAGATTAAAACTAGACTGCTGTCGTTCACTGTGCACTAAAATCCAAGTGGATTAAAGATCTAGATATTAAAACAAAAAAAAACTTGCTGGAAGATAAGTTAGATAGAACTCTTTAAGACATTGGCACAGGAAAAGACTTTATGAACAAATCCTCAATAGCATGGGAACTAGTACAAAGAATCAACAACTGGGATCTCATCTTTTTAAAAAGCTTCTGCACTGCAAGAGAAACCACCAACAGAGCTAAGAGTCAACCTACACTGTGGGGAAAAAATTTTACAAGCTGTTCCTTAGACAAAGTCTACTATCCAGAATATATAAAGAATTCAAAAATATCAGCCACCCCCAATTTAAAAACACAATTCAAAGTGGGCATCTGAAATGAATAGACATTTCTCAAACAAAGAAGTAAAAGCAGCAAATAAATATATGAAAAAATGTTCAACATTACTGGTCATTCAAGAGCTGCAGATGAAAACAATACTGAGATTCTACCTCATCCCAAAAAGAATGGCTGCTATCAAGAAATCACACAATAACAAATGTTGGCAGGGTTGTGGGGAGAAAGGAACCCTGCTCCATTGTTGGTGGGAGTGCAGACTGGTGTAACCACTGTGAAAATCAATATGGAAATCCCTTAAACATCTAGGATTAGAAGTGCCATTTGGCCCAGCTATTCCCCTACTGTGTATCTTCCCAAAAGAATTAAAAGAATCATACCACAGTGATATATACTCATACATATTTATAGTGGTACAGTTTGTAGTAGCTAAAACTTGGAAACAGCCTAATTGCCCATAAACTGGAGACGGGATAAAAAAGATTTTTTTAAATAAAATTGAGTACTACTCAGCCATAAAGAATGAGAAACTAGAGACATTTATAGCTAAGTGGATTCACATAGAGGACATACGCTTAGGTGAAATTAATAGTACACACAGGTGTAAATAACGAATAGCTTCTCTGGTGTGATAAACTAAAAGTGTAAATAAGGATCAAAATGTACAATTGACATTGTGTAATAGGAAAAAAGGTGTAAAGGTTTAGGGGAAGTGGGAAGGGTACAGAAAAGGCAAAGAGAAAAAGAAAGAGAATAAGAAACAAATGGAAGCAAAGTCTTTGTACTACACTTGATCTTAGCCAAAAGGCCGAGAAGCGATGCAAAGTCTTTGTAAATAGGGAAGGGTGGAGTGGGTGAAGGGAGGCCAGGGGAATGGGAAAAAAAAATAAGAACTAAGATATATATCATGCAAAGGTACAAGATCTCAATGATGAATGTAACTGTATTGTATACCTAAAATGTACCAATAAAGAAAAAAAATTAATGATACATATAAAATAACCACTAAGAATGGAAACATTATAATAAAAGCATTAGAAAACATAATAAATCATATTTTCAATACAAAAAACATATAAAAACATAAGAAAAAGTTCATTATTTATGAGCAATAAAACAGAGACAACAATCAGTTAAGATATGTATATACATATATTTATGTGTGTGTGTATGTGCATGTACACACAGTGGTAGAAATGAAAAGTCTTTTTATGTTTTTAGTTATTGTTTATTTTATTTTATTAAAACATGTTTGTAATTCATGCAGTTTATAGTCACTTTGGGGAGTAGTTACAGGTACATTTTATAGCTTTTTTTTCCTAATCCCCTTCCCCTTTCTTCTTCCTCTCCTCCTCTTCCTCTGGTTCCCCATCACCTTTTTCATACTTGTTGATATTACTTGTTTTAGCTCGTTATGGAATTAGAAAATTTAAAACTATTAAGATTTCAATATTGTTCAATTTAACTTAAAATTCCATACAGTCATAATTGATATCACATCAGAATATTGTGATAATCCATGGTAAAAAAATAAAATCTAAATATATACAGAACCTTTATGACAAAATCATAAATCACAGCTAAACAGAATTCAAATAGTTGATATTGTTATAGAAGCCACTCAGGGAGAAAAATTTGTTCTGTACCACATATTCATTAGGACCCCTGTTGTCAATAGTGCAATTCCAGAAGACTCTAGTCATAACAATTTACTGAATTCTCCAAGGAACTTAGTCGTCCATACGGGCCTCATTCTTGAGGAATGTGTAGTCCAGCTAACAAACATTTAACCTTTTCATGGTTCACCTTGGAATCACATTTATATGTCAACAATATTTGAAACTTCCCTCCACTTTGGACTTTAGAACACTATTTCCTCTCTTTCTCTCTTTCCTCCATCTTGCTTCCTTCACTTCCTTAATGTTTGCTATGTTTTTATTAAAGCACGAAAAATAACTCCCCACAAATCACAGGCCTATAAGCCACTCCACCACCACACTCTCTGGACTTAACCCTCATTTCTTTTAAATAAAGCCTGGTAGGCCACCAGCGGGAACCCCATTGCTCTGACCTCTGTCACTGTGTGGTGAGGTGCGCAGTCTATTCTTTCCGACTGAGGGATCTTGGGGCACTCTGGAGTAAATGAAGATTCTGCATAGAAATTAAAGGACAAAGTTGAAAATCTGTAGTGTAAGCACAGCTCCAAAAAGGAAAGCGGCAAAGTAACAGACTGTCAGCCAATTTTTCAACCAACAAATCAGGGACAGCTGGTATCTACATTTCCACACAAGGTTGTACACTTTTCCAAGTGTTCAATCCACCTAGGTTGGGGTTTTCTTTTGTTTGTTTTGCTTTGTTTCTTCAATTTGAGATACAATTTACATACAATAAGCTTTTTCCAGTGACAATTCAGTTTTTTGCTCTTTTAGAGTTTTTGGTTTTTTGTTTGTTTGGTAAGTTGGTTGGTTGGTTTTGGTTTTGGCTTTGGTTTGTTTGTTTTTGTTTTTTGAGACAGGGTCTCACTGGGTAGTCCAGGCTGGCTTCAAACTTGCAGCAATCACCCTGCCTTAGCCTCCCAAATACTGGGATTGCTGACATGTGCCACTATGCCCAGCTTTAATTTTTATTTTTATTAGTCCATATTTGCAGTATATAATGATTACATTCATCATGGAGAGTTTGTACAAGTACATAACACATGCAACTAGGGAGCCAGAGGGAGCAACGCACCTGCCCTGCAAGCTCAAGGTCCTGAGTTTTATTCCCAGCACCACCTCCCCCCAAAAAACACAACATAATACATGTAATAACCACCATGTAATTTTAAACACTCTCATCACCCTATAAATAATTCACATCCCTATTTCCTTTTTCCAAGTCTCCCTGATAAAAAAAGAATCTATTGTTTTCTCCATTGATTTGCCTATTCTGAGTGTTTCATATAAACAGCATGACAATATAAGAGCCTTTTGTGCCTGGCTTGTTTCAGTTGGTATAATGTTCTTCTGTGCTGCCACATGTATGAGTGCTTCATTCTTTTTCATGAGTCCTAGCTCATTATGTGGATTAAAATTTTTTTCATGTATTCATCAGTTGATATACATTTGGGTTTCCACTTTTGACTAGTGTACATAACTATGCTATGAATGGTCATATAAAAGATTCTGTATGAACATGTTTTCATTCCCCTTGGTTGTATACCCAAGAGTGGAATTGCTAAGTCATGAGGTTATCTTCAATATTTTGAGCAATTGCTAATTTTTTTTTTTTTTGTAACAGGGATCGACCTCAGAACCTTGCAAGTGGCAGCACCACTGAGCTAAATCCCCATCCCAATTGCTAATTTTATTTTCCAAACTGACTATACTGTTTTATATTCTTATTACAAGGAATGAGGACCCCACTATTACCGTAACCTAAATAATACTTGTTATTTGTTTCTAGTTTAGTCATTCTACTGAGTGAAAAGTAGAATCTTGTTGTTTTGACTTGTATTTTCCAAATAACTGATGTTGCTGAAATCATTCATGGACTAGGGTCATTTATATATCTCTATGGAGAAATATCACTTTAAATCCTTTCCTTTTAAAATTGGATTATTTTTATTTTTTAATTTATTTCATTACATATCCTAAATGTTAAGCCTTTATCAGATATGGCATTTATAAACACATTTCCTGATTCTATGGGTTAGCCTTTCACTTTTTTTGATGATGTCTTCTGAAGCACGAAGTGTTCCGTTTTGTGAAGTCCAGTTTGCCTACTTTTTCTTTAGTTACATGTTTTGGGTATTATCTAACAAACTGTTCCCTGACCCAGGGTCACAGATACTTATTCCTATGTTTTCTTCTTAGAGCTTTATAGTTCGGGCTCTTGCATTGAGGTCTTTGATCTATTTTGACTAACTTTCATGAATATTGCCAGGTAGGAATCCCAAACCACGTACTTTACATGTGAATATCAAATTGCATTACACTTTTAGAGGTTTTTTTCATTCGCTTGTTTGCTAATGTTTGGTTTTGTTCTGCTCTCTTCCAACAACTTTGATGTACACTTGGAGGATATTATTGGCCCCACATAAATTATACACTTTCATTCAGATTTAGTCATTCTTATTTTAGCCTTATCAAATTGGTCAAACCTTCCCCTATGTAACAACAGAAATAGGACTGAGTCAGTGGGCTCCCTAGACATTCAAAACCCAGGATTTCATCTGATGCTTTAGACAAAACAGTTTCTGTGGGCATAATAGGTTCTCTTTGATGCTTTTGTTCTCATTTGAAATAACTTCCAAACTACCTCTTTACCATGTTTATGGCTCTGTACTTAATGTATATGCATACATTTGTTTCAAAATTAAAGACTTAAACATAAAACCCAAAATTGTAAAATTCCTAGAAGAAAACCTATGGTAAAAGTTTCATGACATTAGTTTTATCAAGAGCATGGGCAACAAAAGTATAAGTGATGTCCTGAATCACTTCAAAACATTTACCTTTCATAATCATTTTGACTTTGAGAAATAGCCAGAATTAGAATAGTACTGCGCCCAGTGAATAAGATGGACGAGGACATAAAACCTTGACAAAAAATTACCATAAATATTTTGAACTGATTCAGGATACAACAGCCATAACAAAGCAACTAAAGCCACTCAAAAACAGAGGACTTTCAGAACTGCTTCAGAAAGTGGAAAAATGATGGGACAAGTGTGTTTGAAGGAAGAGAGAGTATTTTGAGAAAGATAAATGAAAATGTTTTACTTTAATCTTTTTTAAATTTTTCATTTAAATATTCACTGTATTTTTGCCACATCTGGCAAGAAATGAATTTCCAAACTATATAAGAAACTCAGAAAGTTCTATGGTGAGAAAGCAAATAGTCAACTTTAAAAATAAGCAAAAGAGGGCTGGGGATTTAGCTCAGTGGTTCTAATGCCTGCATTGCAAGGACAAGGTCCCACGTTTCATCTCCAGTACCAAAAGAAAAAAAAGAAAGAAATGAGCAAAAGATTTGAATAGATATTTCTCTAAAGAATACATACAAGTGGATAACAAAAATGTGAAAAGGTGCTCAACATCATTACTCATCAGGGAAATGGAAATTAAAACTGTAATGAGATAGCACTTCACGCCTACTAGGATCGTTGTTATGAAAATAAAATGAGAGATGAGGAAGGGCAAGAAACAGCAGGAAGGAAGGTGCACGTGATGGAGTGAAGGTCTACACATGTATGTAAATGTCACACTGAAAGCCACTAATTTGTACAGTTAATAAGTGTTAATAATTACAATAAAAAACAACTGTTGACAAAGATGTGAAGAAATGGAAACTCTTGCACACTGTTACTGAGAATGCAACATGGTGCAGTCACTATGAAAACAATATGTGATAAGTAAAAAAATAAAAAGAAACCACCATATAACTCTCCAATCCCACTTCCAAATATTCATCCAAAGAATTTGAGTCAGGATTTTAAAGAGATATCAGCACTCCCAATGTTAACTTCAGCACTAGTCACAATAGCGAAGGTATAAAAACAACCTATATATGCACTAAAGGGGGAATGGATAAAGCAAATGTGATATATAATAGAGTATTACTTAGTCTTAAAAAGGAAGAAATTCTGTAATATGCAGAAATATGGATGAAACTTGAGGACAATATGCTAGGTGAAATAGAGTAGTCACAGAAGAACATACACTGAACTATTTCTCCTATATGAAATACCTAACTCAGTCAGACTCATAGAAGCAAAATATAGAATGGCAGAGGCCAAGTGTTAGGGGAAGGGAAAGTGGATAATTGCTTGCAAACACATATTCCAGTTATGAAAAATAAGTTCTGTAGTACTGACGCACACCATTATTCCTATAGACAGTAACATTTATATTTTCTAAAAATCTGTTAAGAATGTATACCTCATTTTACATGTTCTTACCACAATAAAAAAAATTTAAATCTACTTTTCAACTCATGCAAAAATCTTCAAAAATATCTCAGAGAAAAATCTAGTGTGTAAAATGATTAAATGTGGACCTGCTTTGGATGAATCAAAGTGTTTTGGTATGAATGTAGGTGGGAAGATTAGTTTTATGTAAAAGAAACTTTATAAACTGAATAGTAATTTCATCTACAAAAAATTTTTTGGAAAGAAGTAGGAATAGGCTCAAAGTGATTAACATCATTGATTTTTCAATTATCTTCGAAAGTTGTGATTTTTCCAGCAGGTACCTCAATGTTCCTTGAGCAGAGGGTCAAAGAGATACTGTGCAAGTAAGTGTTCTGCTATCAGTACAATTTCTTTTCACTATGTGGTTAATCACATCTATAAAGGAGCTTTAGCAAGCAGAGCAAAGCCTCAAATTCAATTTGCGTTGAAAATAAAATTTTGTACTGCACATATTTTATTATTTAGAAGGTAATGTGAATATAGAGGAGAAATATGTTTCTATATGTATGTGGAAGTAAAAGAGACATAGAGGGAGAGAGCAAAGGACAGAAGAAAGGAGAAAGTGAACAATTTCAAAAAGATCTTTCAAAAAAGCATAGCTATTTCCATAATAATATGAAATGGAAGCTAATTACAATGCATATCATCAGGTCAATATAGCCCTCAATTTTCCTGTGACCTATGCCTTTTCCATGATGTAGTAAAGTTGGGCATTGTTTCTTTAACTGTTCTTTCTCCTTGAGAATTCTACTTCATGAGTCTGCATGGGAGGGCAGGTGTCTAGTGAATCTAGTTTTGTATCTTGTTAGAATTGCACCTAGAAGACCCTAATATTCAAGGTTTAGTTAGGAAAAAATAGCTTATCTTGACATTTGACTCAAATTAATTGTGAGTATGGATTTTGAACACAACAACACAGTGACAAGCTCAAGAAAGAAGGAATAAAAAAAATCTCTTTGGTATCCAAAAAATGGCCCAACTCCGTTCCCACCCTTTCAACTCAGCAGTCACAAAATCACCTTTACCTGAACGTCCCTCCAAAAGAAGAAATAGCAACAGGATGTCTGCAACTACAGCTATCAGGATGAAGATGATCAGAAGGACTTCCAAGACAGTGAGCTTCTTGGCCATCTAGATGGACAGAGATAATTGTATTAAAACAAGCCACAGAGCCCCATCAGCCAAATAAATAACAGATAGGCATTGTGATCAAGATGTGAACTTGTAGCTGGGCAGGGTGGCACTTGCCTGTAATCCCAGCACATGACAGACTGAGGCAGGAGGATCACTTTGAGTTTGAAGCCAGCCTGAACTACATAGTGAGCTCAAGCCTGAACTATATAGCAAGACCTTATCTCAAAAAACAAAAGAAAAAAATGTAAACTTATTTACAGTAGAACCTGATCATCAGTGTTCCTCTTTACATAATCCAGAGAATATTTTCTACTTATCCACAATGTCATCAACTTCATTACAAGTTCAGCACCTCTAGGACTCTTACCTTTTGTTTGCAAAGATATTGAATATTTTCCAAGTAAAAGTATATGAGACATAAAGAATTAGAGTGAAAATAGAGGGGTTAAGATGACTTCAAACCCCTTTCTGATGTCACTTTGATCATTTGACCTCTGCAGTGGAAAAGAGGATACAACTTAGGGAGAAAGAAAATACCAGGAACTAAATTCATCTCTTCCAATTCCTATGGCATGAAGCTGAGTTGTTAACAGTTTAGGAGTCACTGATCCTTTTAAGGATTTGGTAACAAAAACAAACCTGATCCTGACTTGCACCATGATGCTTAGATGTGTGCTCACAGCCCACAGACTCATATAAACTGAATGTCTCACAGTAACCCTGGCGATCATTTATGGACCTAAATGCTAATATTCTGCTCTATTGAAAAATGTACAAACATGGACTCAAAGGCCTCAAATTCTTATGCTGCCTTTCTTAATAACAGAAGAGTTGTTTACCTTTATGATCCTATGTTTCTTCATCTATAAAAATGAGATCAGATTGTGCATGCATTGCTGTGTATTTTGCTGTAATTATAATAAAGCCAATACTATGCACCTTGAAGTTCTAACAGTCCTCAGCTTGAGTGGCTTTCATCATCACCCCATTTCCATCAGCCACACACTACAGCTCTACCCCGGAATTTATCGTGCTCCAGAATTGTTCCACTTTTGAAATCCTAAATCCTATTTCTCATTTACTGCTTATAAACTGATGTGCTTTTTGCTCTCCAATTGTCTTATTTCAATCTTCCTTCTTCTTTGATCACATTGATATTTCTGTTCTTTTCCCATTTCCTTTCGATTTCTTAGCCCTTCCTGATGTTTTTCCCTACTTAAACCTCAGTGTCTATTGCTTAACTTTTTCTTCTGACTGAAACTATATAATGAAACAATCAGGCCAAATATCTGTCATGAAGTTGATGCACTAGCTTCCTATAGGTACCACTTGAACTCATAATTTCCAAAAAAAATAAATAAATAATAAAAACAATGGGCCTGCAAAACTGACTGATTATCTTACTAGCTCCTCTTATTGTTCATGGAAATGAATTTTTAAAATCAAGCCTTTTTAAGCCTAGCTTCTGTCATCCTATTATTACCCAATATAATCTCTGTCAAAGGAAAAGTAAATGTTTTGCAGAAACTGTCATCTCCCTGCTTCTCAACCCAAGCAGTTCTATAAATATTATGCATAACTAGGCAAATTATCATTTTTTACCCTATGTTCTCAAAGCAGTTTTTCATCTTTAGTCCAAGCATAATTTTTACGCCTGTTCTCTGGCTTTCACACTTACTGGATTTCTCAGTTGCTTCACCAATTAGTCTTCCTTTTACTTCCATTATGATCCTCTCTCTCCAAATGGCTTTTCCCCCTGTTAAATGTTTCTAAGTCACCCTAAATTATTGATGACTCTTCTCTAGGTAACATTTTAAAATTCATTTTCCTTTCACGGATAATTTTCCAAAAGGATAATGACACACCGTGCTGATTACCTTCCTTACATATTACTGGTATTGCTTGCATTTTCTGCAATCTACTGGAACTGCTCTTGCCAAGGTCATCAGTGATGTAGTTGTTAAATACATCAGGTATTGTCTTAATCTCCTAGAACTTATCGACCACTCCCTCTTCCTTGAAACTCTTTGCCCACTGAAAAGCCTAGATATCAGTATTGCTCAATCTCAGTTTTCCACCCACACTTTTGGCACTTTTCCAACTTATATCTTGCATCTCCTATTTCATTACATATTAATAATTCTCATATTTTCACAGAAGTCCTCTTTTAAAACTTCCCACTCTCCTTGAACAATCCCATCTACTCACATTACTTTATACCATATATGTCAGCAATCTAACCTGTATTTCTAGCCCAGAGATTTGGATTCATATATTCAATAGCCTGTTCAATGTCTCACTTGAGTGTTCAAAAGACTTAACAAAAATGAATGTGTTTGAAAATAAAACAATGTTTCCCAACACTCCAGTCACTATTTATGCCAACTGCCCCTCAAATAATTAATAGACTGAGGAAAAGAACCACAATTCATTCTTTAAAATACCTAAGAATCATTTTGATTCTTCTCCATTGGGTCTCACAGACAGTTCAGCCAGACTGTATTCCCCATATCTTTGGGTCACTTCCCCAGTGGCACAACACAGAGTCATTGGTATTTCTTATATTCAAGTCTTAATGATCTTTAGATAAGCTATAAATTTTTTAATCTTGTGAGCAAATATTCATGATACTCTCATACTCTGCCTGTCTCATATAATTACACCACACTAAACCACTACTTATGTAACAATAACTTATAAATCAATGCGCCTAATTTTCTTTTTTGTTTTGCTTCTCCTCTTCTTCCTATACCTTACATCTTTCTTCTATAGCCCAATGTCATGACTATTTCTACAGTTTAATCTAAGTGTACAGTTAATTGAGGTAGCCAGTAGTCTAGCGTGTAATAACCCAAGGAAAGAAGCACTTTAGTACTGAAATGAGAAAAGAGGAGCAAGGACCAACAAATACTTTCCAAAGAGGAGCTTAGGAAAAACATTCAGCTCTTGGACAAACTAGTGTTTGAACTTGAAATTGGGGTTTATGACCTAGCTATTCTTTCCTATTAACTAAAATCTATCAGATGTCTTACTTGCAGTCTAAATTACTCAAAATATTTACTCTATTCCTCATAAAATGTATATCATATTATATTCTAATAAAGTCTCTACATCAAAGTTGGTCATGCAGGCACCATAATTTCTCTTTTATAAATGAATACTAGCTGGGAACTTAGCTCAGTGGTTCTGCTGCCTGACTTGCAAATGCAAGGACCCAAGTTCAATCCCCAGTACCAAAATAACAATAAAAATAATAATAATAATAATAATGGATTTTGTCTGTAATTATTAGTTGTAGAGCTGAGACAAACTCTGAGCTACCACTTCTTAAACTAATATTTGAGTTCTCTCTCCACAACATCTGTCAGACCATGAGGATTAAAGGTATAAAGTACAAATCTCCAATGGTGGAATTTCAGACTGTGAAAGGAATCTGAGGAACCAACCTTAATTATTCATAATTCTTCATTTACTTTCTTTTACCATGGCCCACAACTAAGTATCTCAGAAAATGCACTGGCCATCCATTATTTTCCTTTTCCAAGTATAGCTTCTTTTCAGAGGGAGATTTTTCTTTCCAGCCTTTACAAACCAGAATCAGGAACATCTTCTACAACTCCTTAACCCTCCTGAGGGAGCACGTTCAACACAATAGTTTGGGAAGAAGGAGAGGGAGAGGGAGAGATCTCACACTAGATCTCCCCATCTGTTCTACACACACACACACACACACACACACACACACACAATCTCTCCTCTGTGCACTATCTCATCCTCATTTTTTATCCTCTATAGAAAAGGAAGAAAATACCACGTCCAGAATAAAATGTAGGCATATAGGTCACCTAGCAGAGCAGGAAATAGGAAAATTTACAAAAGAAAAAGATCCTATTTGCTCAAAACACAATCAGCATTGGCAGAAGTACTCACCTCATAGTCTCTTTGCTGTGGCTGTCCCTGGTTGATTCAGAACTGAGCAAAGGTGACTGGACCTTTGCAGCCAGATTCTAGCACAATCAATTTACTGCCCCATAAATTTGACCACAGTTGGAGGAGTGGAGTGCATTTCCCAACATACCATAAAAGAGCCCTTGCTCTCCTTGTGAGGAAAGAGAAAGCTCTCGTTGTTAGTAAAAAGGAAGGGTGTTTTTTTCTAATAGTTATCCCTCCGTTTTGTTCCTGCTCATATATCTGATTACTTTGCTTGCTTGCCATCTATATCATGCTCCCTTGTTTGTCCATAAGCATACAGGGCTCAAGAGACACATTCTTCCCTGTTTTTCCCATGGTTGTATTTCCAGTGCTCAACATTCCACTCCATATGTAGATAATTTTAAATATGTAATTATTTTTTAAATAAATGAGGTAAAGAATGAGTAGCTCTTGGTTCATTAAATTGCTCTTTTCTCCACTTTTGTCCTAAAAAGTCCTCTTAGTTTAACACAGCTTTTTATTTACTCAAATATGCCTTTGCCTCAATTATTCTAAGTGAGTAAAGCATCATGAAAAATGGAAACTATGTAGTCTTACAGTAAGATACCGAGAGTGGATATTTTCCATGCCTTTTTCCTGCTCCACAGCTTTGAAAACTCTATGATTAAGGAATTTCTCACAATAAGAAAACTGTCTTCCCAAAGAAGGACCTAGAAAATCTTCTTTCACAGTCTCTCTTTTTACCAAGCTAGAGGAAGAGGGCTGGGTGCAGTGGATCGGATGTGTCTGTGAGTGGCTGAGATCCAGAAGAAAGTACAGAGAAAGGGGTGCCATGTAGAGTCCTGGATGGTGAGGAGATATCTGTGTCAAGAGCAATAGGTGTCAGGAAGCATGGTATCCTATCTCAGTTTGGGGCATGAATCCTGTCAGACCAATGCTAAGGGCAGCAGCAGTCCAAGCTCCAGCAGGGTGATCTGGGTCTTCTGCCTCACTTCACAGCCTGAAAACATGATTCTTTACCTCTCTTGGCATTTCAGTGGGTCACGACTATCTTTACATTTTTA